CGGTGAGCAGAACAACAGCAGGCCAAGTGGACATTGCCTCGGCCGGGCTAGAACCCCCTCTCCCAGAAGGCCACCCAGATGGAGAGCCACAGTGTGTGAAGGCTGCTCGGTGCCCCTGGAGGGCGAGCCAGCAGGCGGTTGCGATGTTGGAGAACATCAGATATGGACAGTCTGCAGGGCTGGCCCCAGACCCACCACGTGAGCGTGCTGGGCCTCGCTGGGCCCCTCTCCTCCAGACCGGGCGGCAAGTGCTCCACCGGCATTTACTTCTCTGGCTGACCTCTCCCTTTGCTAATCCCATGCATTCCGGTTTTTGTATTTAGTGTCACCAGTCAGCCCTTGCCAGCTCTGTCTCTTAGAACATCGTTTTCTCCATCCGTTCTGGGTGGGCACTTCTGAGCTCCTGGTTCTCGGACCCCTCCCTGCTGTGGCTTCCTGTTCACTGCTTGTAATTATAGACCCTCTCTTAGGGTGGTTCTGTTGGATGCAAACCGTGCTGAGCGCTCTCTCGATGTTATTTTCCTGAATCTCCATCATCACCCCAGGAGGGAGGCAAGCGTATCTCTGCTTTTTAGATGAGGCTACCTAGACTGAGAGAAGTGAAGTCACTTGCTCCAGGTTGCAGAGAGGGCTGGAGCCAGGCTTTGGGTCTGGGTCACCTAGGTCTGTCCCTGCCCTGCCACCCTGTGAGGGACCCATGAAATGACTGTGAAGTCCCTGACCCTGGCCTGGTCCACAGCAGCCCATGGTGATGGGAGTCTTGCCCTTCCCAGCAGAGTCACACTGCTGACTCCTGCAAGGCTGCCCACACCGCCCCAGCGCCTTCGCTTCTCCGGACTCCAGACTGTGCCTCCTGCCAGGGTGCTCAGCGCGCACCTTTACGGACTTCCTGTCCTGAGGTATCAGGATGCCAAGTCCTCCTGTCTGTCCTCTGCGAGGTGCTACCTGTCCCCCTCTCTGGGCGTTCGCTCACATGATGACTCAGCCCAGATGCCCTCCCTGCCATCTCCTGTCTAAATTCTCCCGTTTTGCAAAGCCTGACTCCGCCTGGCCCTCCATTCCCGACTCTGTAAGCCCTTCTTTAAGAACTGCAGGCCATGTTCCCTATCACCAGATCTCCAGAATCTTCTAGGGCCTGAAACATACACTAAGTCACGTCATGCCTGCTGTTTAACCGTTTCCCAGGTGAGTGTCATCCTCCATGCAGCAGGGAGCACCAGAGGAACCAGCACCTGCTTCCGCGGAGTCCCCCGTGGTGCCCAGCCAGCCGGGCTGCCCGTTGGCTCCGTCTGTGCTGACCTGGGCCTGGGCAGAGCCGTGCCCACGTGACTGGCTGCGGCAGAAGCCACAGCTAGGTTCTTGGCTCTTTTTCTGTGGCCCTAGTGAAAGAACTGTGCCATTATCCCTGGACTTGTAGAATAAGGAAGGATCTCATGATAGGATTTTAAAAATATTATTTTTGTTTTGAATTGGTGAACATTTTTAAAGTTTAAGTAGACTTATCTCCTCCTCATCCTGTTACACCAAGCCATGTGCATTGAAAAAAATTATTTTTCAGCCTCTGTTTTTATTTATTTTTATTTTTTAAATGTTGCAAAACATGTATTTATTTTTAGTTATTTTTTAATCTTACCTGAGGACATGCTTACTGATTTTTGAGAGAGGAGGAGGGAGGGAGAGAGGGGGCCGACACATCGGTGTGAGAGAGAAACGTCGGCCAGCTGCCTCTCGCCCGCACCCTGGCTGGAAGCGAGCCCTAACACAAGCATGTGCCCCCCACGGGGATCGAATCCATGACCTTTCGATTTATGCGACAACCAATTGAGCCACACCTGCCAGGGCAAACTCTAATGTTTTAAGTCAGAAAACATGTATGAGTGACCCATGGACATGGACAACGGTGTGGGGACTGACTGAGGAAGCAGGGGGGCTGGGCAGAGGAGGGCAAAGGGGGGGAAATTGGGACAACTGTAATAGAATAACAATAAAATAATTTAAAAAATAAGAAAATAAATTTCCAAGTGTAGTAGAAAAATTGAGAACTACTATTAAGCAGAAAGAAGAGGAAATAATCATCTATACCCTACCCTTGCTGTCTAGAAACAAAGTGAATAATTTGCTGAATTTTCTGTATCAGTGTATATAAATTGATCAAAATAGGGTCAATCTCTATAGACTGTTGCGTATCATGCTTTTTCATTTGGATATTTTCCACCCTCTTTTTAAACTCATTGGAGTGGATCAGCTGTCATTGGTCTAACTGGCCCCTGGCCGTGGCACTCATTGGTGGCTTATGCCACCTCCTTGCGCCTGAGCGCTTTCTCCCTCCAGGAGAGGCCGCTGAGGCTGGTGTGAAGCAGCTGGGATGGGGCATCAGGACGCTGGGTGGGAGGAGAGTGGGTGGGAGGGACTGGGAACCCCTGGCTGAGGAAGTGACTGCCACTCAAGTCTCTTTTGCTCTCTGGGTATCTGTAAAAGAGATCGAATTACTTTAAAAAAAAAATCCTCACCCAAGGATACATTTATTGATTTGAGAGAGAGGGAGAGAATAGAGAGAACCTTTGATGTGAAACAGAAGCATCGATGGGTCGCCTCCTGTACACACCTTGACTGGGGGTCAAACTTGCAACTTTTCTGTGTATGGACGATGACGCCCAGCCCACTGAGCCACCCGGCTGAGGGCAGGTTGGATTATTTTAAAAGACTTCCAGCTCTTCTCATCTGTGGTTCTGCCCTGACCAGGTCTTCACTGCCAGCAGGCTTGCTACAGACCCGGGCAGTGGAAGGCTGGGGTATTTACTTAGGATTGCCCTCCTGGGTGGCTGCGAGGAGGCGCAGGCCCCGGGAAGGTTCGGAGAGTGTGGGCTGACACCAGGCTGAAGCGGAGGGGAGGCGCGGAGGCGCCAGAGCCTCTGGGCTGCCGCATGAGGGTCATGTGGACTCTGCTTCTTACAGCAAACACATACAGCTAAGTCTGGGATTCTTTTTTTTTTCCTAAGCAAAGTTAAGTAGGCATTTGTTTTAAGGATTCTTCCCTATAGGCCCTATCTAGCATAATGGCCGACAGACTGCAGCGCAGGCAAAGAAGAGGCCCTGGGCCGGGCGGACAAGTCTCAGTTTGGGCTGTGAGCTCCCCTGGAGCAGCTCCTGTGGCTTTGTGTCCTGGCGCAGTTGGCACTTGGCGTCACCCACGCGACAGAGAGCCTGTGTTTTACTGTGGCTTTAGGTGATTCCCGTAAAGCCCCGGGTAATGATGTGAGTGGCGAGCGTTTCTGGGTGGGGAGGAGGCCGTGCGAGCCCAGGCCCTCCCTCACGCTTCATCTTCCACCGCAGCAGCAGCTTCGGTCACAACAAACCCTCTCATTTGTGCTGCGAGCTCCAGCTTACAAAGCATTTCACTCGTTGGCTTCTCCGTGGGGTGTGGGTGCTCGTGGCCTGTCTGGGCCCGAGAGCTCTCGTGTGGTCTGGTGGGGCCTCTGATTTCCTGTCCAGTGCCCTTGGCTTCGGGCCAGGCTGGTGCCCCCCTGGAATACAGGGAGAGGGACTGAAAAAGGGGGCGCAGGGCAGGGGTGTGTGCCCCTGGAGGCGGATATGATGTTGAAGGGGAGATCCAGCATCTGTCCGTCTGTCTGCCTGTCAGAAGCCTCCCGTGACAGACGGGGTCAGGGAGGGACCTGCAGGTCTAGTCTTGAGCTTTCTCATTTACGTCCTGGCACGGGGCTGCCAGCTGGTGTCCCGTAAGTGACAGATGGGTTCGGAGGGGGGCTCTCAACGCAGGGGTAAGGGCTCCCTGATTTTAGTTCCACACTTTTCTTTGAGGATCCACTGATTGGGGTCAGAAGGAGTACTTTCTCCCTCTTAAAAAAAAAACAACTTGTGAGTTAAAAATATAAGTATATACATATTTAAAATTGTGCAAGTAATCCCAAAGTGTATAAAGTAAAAAGAAAGTGCCTTCTCTTAGCCTACCCCATGGAACTCTCTCATTTGTCCTTTATCCACTTCTGAATTATTAACCTTGCTTAACAGTTTGCTGGGTGCCCTTTCAGACCTCTTACTACCTGTGCTCAAGCACGACGGTGTGTTGTTTAGGGTATTTTGTTTTTTTTATGTATAGAGTGGGATCGTGCCATTCTCTGTCCTTTTCTGTTTTTGCAGTTTGCTTATTCCACAGGATAGCTGGGCAGTAGATCCTTGATTCTCTGAAACCTCACTTCTTGCCCCAAGGGGAAAATGGTAACAATAGCCTGTCCCAGAGATAGTTTCTCTAAGCCCCCTGCTCTTTGGGTGAGTCCTAGAGAGGCAAAGTGAGTGTTCCATCTGTGGCCAACCAGGAGCCTGAGCCCAGCTTTCCCAACTCTCACTTCGACGGGGCTGTGCGTGTGTGAAGAGTGCCTTCCTGTCTCACCCTTCGGGTCCATCCTGACAACCTCCCCGTGAAGTCAGCGGGGCGGGAGTTATTGAGGCCTGGGGCGTGAGGAGCCTTGCCCAGCCCAGTGCTGGGAGGGCCTGCAGCCCAGAGCTCTCTGGTCGAGTTCAGTTTGCCCAGCCTCTACTGAGGGGTTCCTGTGTGCCAGCAGCCTGGTGGGGCTCCCTGGGCCTGCTGTTGTTGCATGGACAGCCTGGCCAAGGCCCTGCCTACGGGAGGTCACTCACTGACTGTCCCCTGTGCTCTGGGCAGAGCGGGGCTCCCTAGGGAGACTCACATTGTCCCTAGAAAGGGCCCACAATCCAGGCCCGGGACAAGAGATTGGAGCTGTGTGGACACAAGGTTGGGGGAGAGGAGCCTGTGACCTCAGTTACCACCACTAACCCCTCACTTCACTCTCTCTGCATCCCTACTTCCTGTCCCTCCCTCCTCCCTCCCTCCTCTCTGTGGCTCTTTGTCCATTTGTCTCCATCTGTCTCTCTCCGCATGTGGTTCCTGCCCCTCTCGCTCTGTTCTGTCACACCATCGCTGCCCCTTTCCCCGTCACATGTTCTTCTTCATGCCAATGCAGGCGTGCTGGTCACCATGACAACAGAGACAGGCCCCGATTCTGAGGTGAAGAAGGCTCAGGAAGAGGCCCCACAGCAGCCTGAGGCCGCCGCTGCCGCTGTGACCACCCCAGTGACCCCTGCAGGCCACGGCCACCCGGAGGCCAACTCCAATGAAAAGCATCTGCCCCAGCAGGACACTCGGCCTGCTGAACAGGTGTGTGCCCGAGAGGTGGGCATCCCTCCTCCTGCCCAGCGCCTTCTCTGGGGCAAGCCCTTAGGGGAGAGGAGAGGAGGAAACGAGGGTTTATTACTGACCCACTACATGCTGAGCACAGCGCCAGAGGCATTGTTTTTGCTTTTATGTTTAATTCTCCCAAACCTAAGAGAGTAGCTATTAATCTCCCCATTTTACACTCAGGGCAGCTGAGGCTCAGCAGGATGAAGGGAGTTACCCAAAGTCACATTGCTATAAAGTGACAGAGGCAGATGTCGAATCCAGACCTGATTTCAAAAACCCATATTCTTTCAACCTTAATTTCCCTGCCTGTCCGTTCTGGCCGGGCAAGCCCCATGTTGCCCCAGGGCACAATATATCACCCTGAAGCCGCAGGGGACTTGAGGAGCCACCTAGCTGTTGAATTCATACCTTCCTTAACTCATGACAGGCCCAGGTGGGGCAGGGACTTGGCCAAGGTCACTGAGGGTGTTGGTGGTACAGCTAGGACTAGAAGACAGGGCTCAGACCTCCCCCCTCCATTAAATCACTGCACAAGTCCCCAGCCTCACGTTAGACCCAGCGACAGACAAGGAGGAGGAGACCAGGCCCCCTGATAACTCATGCACTGTCCTCGGGAGACACAACAGCTCTGGCCACCGGGTTTGGTTTTGTGGGGTGCTCTTGCCCACAGAGGCTGCCCCTAGCAGCAGGAGCCTGTGGGAAAGCTGCGGACCCCTCACGTGAGCCACCCTGAGCTCATGGAAGCTCTGGCTCTCCTCCTGCACATACCCACCACTGACCCTGGGCACCCTGGGGGCCTCGGACAGCCTCGGCTCTCATTTGGGGGCTCTTCTTAGCCCCAGCTGCCTCCTTATTGCATCTCATTGGGATGAAAGGTGCTGGTTCCAAGCCCACTAACCCAGCTCTCGCCCCGCTTGGACCTGCAGAGCCTAGACATGGAGGAGAAGGACAACGGGGAGGCCGACGGCCTGTCAGAGAGGACCACGCCCAGCAAGGCCCAGAAGTCGCCCCAGAAGATTGCCAAGAAGTACAAGAGTGCCCTCTGCCGAGTCACTCTGCTCGACGCCTCTGAGTATGAGTGTGAGGTGGAGGTAGGGAGCGCCCAGCGCCACATGCCCCATCCCCGGCCAGCTGGCCTCAGGGCCAGGGCAGGCTTCTGTGTGTACTCAGCCTGGGCCGAGCCAGAGGGTGTCCATTCTCTGTGGAGCCCTGGACCGACCGCGGCATCCCGGGGAGATGACCTCGCCAGCCCTCCTTTGTGCAGATGGTGGCACCAAGGCCTGGGAGGGCTGTTTTGATTGAGGAGAGAATTAGACAGGGCACCAGACTGGCACCAGGCAAAGGTTTCTCAGAGTGGCCATACTTTGGCAAGGAGCCACCGTCTCGGGGCTGGTCTGCAGCCCAGAAGGCCTGGGCACCGGGCTCCTTGGTGCAACCCAGCAGGCACTGATGTTTCAGTGAGAATCATTTCCATGTGTTTATTGGATGGAGAGAGGGTCCGCCCTCATGAACCGCCCTGGCCGGGGCACCACCCCTAGTCTCCAGGATAAACTGGCCATTTGAGGGTTCCACGCTAAGGGTGTCCCCCAGGCATGGGGGTGGCCGTGTAGAAACTCGATGGCATGGTCCTGCCCCACACTTGGTGGCGGGGCAGATGCCTCCTCTCTGGGGCCGGCCCTCCTGGCCCCACATTCAGCATCTCTCTTTTCCTGTATAGGCTCAGACTCCTGCCCGAGTTCTGAACTCTCACCCGGCCCCTCGGGTTCTTCCCTAGTCCTGGCACCGCTCCTGGCTCTCCGCGTGTGCACGGAAGCGTCCAGAGGCGGCCTTTCTGCCGAGAGTTACAGGGGCCACCTCCCCGTCTTCCCCTTGTCCTCAGTGGAGTTGGCTGACTCCTGAGCCCTGGGGAGCTGGGTCCCTCTTATTTGCAGGGTTGGGTTTTTATTTATTTTTTAAATATATTTATTTTTTCTATTGAAGGGTTTCAGAGTAGACACCGTGCCTATTTCTGGGCACAATGAAACAATATCTTCCCTCTTGTCTCTCTTGCCCACACCGGCCCAGGAGGCTGTCTCAGGCCGCCCCGGGAGGGCACAGGGCATTTGGCCGAGGCCAGGCCCCCTTTCTCTGGGGGGGTTCTCCAGGCGCAGGAAGCTCTTTGCTTCCCGAAGCCGCTGGCCATAGTCAGGCCTGGTCTCAGCCCCCACGACCTAGCCAGACCCTGCAGGGATCTCACCCTCTCTCTGGAGGCCCCTGACTCTCTGAGTAGTGACTGCTTGCCACTCCCCAGGCCCTGCGATCCGTTTATCGGTGCTCACCCTCACCCCTGTGGGCTTGGGCTACCCAGCCAGGTTCTGGGATTTGGCCTTGTGCGTGACTCCTCAGGCCCAGATGGTGTTCAGAGAGGCGCTGAGCCTGGGGGTGTGGGGGTGGGGCAGAAAGGGGGCTCTCGCAGGGCTGCTTCAAGCTGAGGCTGATTTAGGCCCCATGAGCCCCTATAGAACCTCACTCACTGCCCGGGTGAGGGGGTGCATGCCAGGCTGGGCCGCCCTGGGTTTCACTCACACTCAGTGTGAGGGGGAGGGCGAGGGAGGGGGAGCCACACCGAGACCCTGAGTCCCGGGCGGGCTCCTGCCCCTCTGTCCACGCACTTCGACTTTCACCACCTGTTCTTTGCATCCAAGTTAGTCTCCTTCTCTTAATCGCTGTAAAGGAAGGAGAAATCAGCCCTGGGAGGCTCCGTCCCCAGCCCCAAGCAAGCCCAAGGTCTAGGAGGACCCCAGCAGGGCTCGGAAGAAGGCAGCCGATGACCCAGGCGTCAGGGTCAGAGCCGGGTGGATAGGGAGTGCTGACATCTCTCCAGACATGGGGAGGCTCTCGGGGGCTTTCGAGTTGTCCTAGTGGAGCCGGGGGTCTCCCCCTGGGCCTCCCCGACTAGTGTGTTCCGGCCTCACAGAACTCCGTTCTCTTCTTCAGAAACACGGCCGGGGCCAGGTGCTGTTCGACCTGGTCTGTGAGCACCTCAACCTGCTGGAGAAAGACTACTTTGGCCTGACCTTCTGTGACGCCGACAGCCAGAAGGTGCCTGGGTCGGGGGCCCAGGCGGGCAGGGGCGGCCTGCTGGGGGGGAGACTCCTGCCCTCAGGGCCCCGGGGTCTGGTGGCAGCCCGTGGCTTCCACTGGTCCTCAGCTTGTCACTAGTCACCTTCTGTTTGCGTGTCCCCAAGGTTCAGCCAGTCCTACCTTGTCCTCGGTCCTCTGCGTCCACTCCACCCCCCAGTCTTTTCTGGGCGACCTGAATGTCACCCCAGATGAATATCTGGAGAGCCAACCATGACCTCCCGGAGGAACCAAAGCAGTTCCCCCACCCCTTGGGAGCTCCATTCTGTGTGTCCCCTGGTTTCCTCCTTCCCGCCAGTCCCACCGAAGCTGTGTTACCTGTTCACTGCCCTGCCTTGAGGCGACTCCAGCCTCGGGGCCTGGAGTCCCAGGCCCTATGGGGAATCCAGGCATCGTTCCCTCACCTCCTAGTCCCAGGGACATGAGCCCAGAAAGCTCAGCCAGGGAAGGGTGTCCCCTGCCAGGGCTGTCAGTGGGGCCACTGCAGGGTGTGTCTCCTCGCTACACCTACCTGGTCTTCTTCTTTATCTTCCCTCTAAAGAACTCTATCTTCTTTTGCAGAACTGGCTGGACCCGTCCAAGGAAATCAAGAAGCAGATCCGGAGTGAGTAGCCCGCGGTGGCTGGGAGCTGGGAACATAGAGGAAGGGCGGACAGGGGCTCTGGGCCACGAGGCCGGGTGGTGCCGCTCTGACCCCCCTCCGTGAAGCGCATTGAGTTCATTTGCTCCCCGTGGAAGGCCTTGGGGAAGGCAAGGCATTGGCGTGTAGAGTTTATAGCTGGGGAACCTGAGGCCCGGACAAGGGAACTGACCGTCCAGAGCAGCGATGTTCGCCCTCTTTCATCTCAGGGCACAAGCAAACTACTAAAATTCTGCGCACCAAAACACAAATATGTTTTGCCAACCTGACAAAAACATTGGTATAATATTGATTCATTCACACCAGACGGTTATTGTTGCGTTGGCTGTTGTCATTTTATTTGACAGTCTAAGGGAAAAGAGGTCAATGCTCATGACTACATAGTCAGGCATTGCATGTTTCAAAGATTCTTACGGCGCACTGGTTGAAAATCGCTGATCCTGAGCCACACAGCAAGTTAGCACAGGGATCGGCGACACCTCCAGGACGTTAGCACTAGAAGGGACCTGTGGGGTCATCTGGGACAAGGGGGCGAGCTGACGGCCTGGAAACTGTCCAGGGCCGGTGAAGGCTGCAGGGGTCAGCTTGGAATCCCTGCCCACACACACCCTGGGCCGCTGTCCACGGACAGGGTTTATGTGTCGGGAGAGAGCCAGCCCCATCCCTGATCTCGGACGTCTCCTGTGTTTAACAGGCGATCACTGCAGCCCAGAGAGAGGCTGTTCTTTACCCAAGGTCACAGGGCAAGCGATCAGCTGAGTCAGGTCTTGAGCCCTGGCTTTCTGACACCATCCTGCACTCGTTTTCAACAGATGAGCAGGCCGACAACCTGTGCTTTATGTTGGGAGGGGTCGGGAAGCCTTCAAATGGAGAAAGGGGAAGGTAGGTAGCCTAGGCCAGGGGCTGTGCAGTGGGCTGAGACCTGGAGCCTAAACAACCCTCCCCATTGCTTGGACTCTCTCTCTGGTCCCTGGACTAGAAGGCTCTAGCAGGAGCCTGTTGCCATGACAGCAGGCATCTGGGCCCAGGGATACCAGCTGACTCTGTGGGAGGGGGCTTGAGGAATTCTTCCCTTTGGCTCCTGTCAGTTGGAGACAAAGAGGGAGGCACACAGACAGAGCACGCTCTTCTGGAGCCATCAGGGTCCTAGGCGTGAGCTTCAGGCTATCCCCAGGAGCCCCAGCCTGGCTGGGAGGGCTGGCCCTCCTGCCGGGAAGGATCAGAGTGCATAGCGTGCAGTGTTAGGGAAGGACCCAAAGCTCAGAAAAGAGAAGCAGCTGACAGTGGTGGAGTCTCAGCTCCCTCCCCAGGGCAGGGAGTCCATGCCCTCCTGTCACCTATGAGCAATGCTCCCGCCTCATGTAGAGCCACAGTCTCTGTCCCTACCCCTGTCACTTCCACCCATTCATTCCAGTTCTGTGCTCTGGAGCCCCCATGGAGCAATTTTTTACCCCTTTTCTTTCTCTGAGACAGCTCCCCCAGCTCCACTTTTGGAAGGTGGCACAAGTTCTCTTCCCAGAGTTGGGTCTATTTCCTCCCGAATCTCTGTGGCCACCTCCAAGGGCACTGGGGACAATGCTTCCACCCCTCTGGGCTCCTGCTTCCCCTTGGCAAGTGGCTTCGTAGTTCCTGCCTCACATGGTGGGGATGACAGTTAAATGACACATGTGTGGACAGTACCTAGCAGATACTAGGGCTTCTCTGAGGCAGTGGTGTCATGGTTAAAAGGAGGGAGAATGAGGCTAAACTGCCTGGATTTGATTTCTGACTCCATCACTACTTCTTACATGAATTGTTTTGTGTCTCAGCTTCCTCATCTGTAAAGTGGAAATAATGAGAGTGCCTACTTTCAGTGTTGTTGTGAGGATTGAATGAGGTATTAGGTACACAACACCTAAAATGGTACCTGCACCAGTAGCATCCGATATGTATTAGTTGTTGTTGTTGTTGTTGTTGTTGTTGTTATTATCATTTCTGAGACAGGGATTGTTTCCCCTTGAGGCTTCCTTCTCCAGGGACTCAGCTGTGGTCCGGAGCCTGGGTTCTGGGGTCGGATGACACAAGGTTAGACCCCTGTCTAGCTGAGTGACCCTGGGAGAGTGACTTAATCTCTCAAAATCTTCATGTATAGAAACGAAAGTCAACCTCAGGATCAGAATGAAGATTAAATTCCTGTATGTGCCCGTAATTTCAGCAAAATAAGTGACCAACGCTTAGTAAGGGTTGGAGCCATGACAGCTGTATGGCAAAGATGGTGATGACCACAGGGACATGGGCTGTAGTGACACTGTGGCCTCCAGCCCTTCGTGACTCTTCTCCTGTCCCGGATGGGCCTCACTTCCTTACTGTCAGGGGTCTTTCCAGAGCATGGCGCCCGCAATGTCCCAGAGGTGGTCTGTCCGTCATTCGGGACTGTGAACTTTCACCAACGCCCCCACTGTGTCCTCCCCCGTCTCCCTCCCCCACCACCAACCTCTCCCACCCTACGAGGTCATCCCTCCTCTTGGCTCACAGAGCTAGTTTCCAGCTCAGACCTCGGCCTCTATTTCTCCCTGCCTTCTATAGATGTACCATTAATTTTTCATATCTAAATGTGGAGGTTAACATTTATTCCTGTGAAATGTCCTTTGTTACTTTCAGCCCATCAAATTTGCCTTTTAGGTCTTGTTTATAATCCAATTCTGTCATCTGAGATAGAGTTAAAGCGAGATAGGGCAGAGTTTTCCAAAGTGTGTTTCAGGGAACATTAATCTGCCTTATGAAAAATGGATACAGCAGGTCAAATGAGTTTTGGGAACTTGAAAGCTTGCCTCCTTTAGAGAGGTACAGTTTGTGATGGCAGAGTGAGGGCTCTGAGAAGTCTAAACTTAGAAAACCTGTTTAACGTGGTACTTCCCAGCCTCCTGCCCATCAATGTCCCGCGGCACATACTTTGCTGAGAGGGAGGGGCACGAGCGCTGCAGCCGGGGGCCTCGGTCTGGAGCCCGGCACCCCGCTTCCCAGCTGGGCAACTCTGGGCTGGCCTCATCTGCAGAATGAGGGTAATCGGAGGATTTATTCATAGAGATTTAGCAAAGCGATGTTTGTAAAATAATGGTGCGCCCGGCGTGCACCGCTGGTGTCCTTTCTTTCTACCTTCCTTCCTGCTGCTAGTTCACGAGTCTCTTAACCCGGGACTCAGTCTTCTCATCTGTCAGGTGGGAATGTGCCAGACCCCCTGATTGGATGGTCCAGCGATTATAGACATGAGAAGACTTTGAACGTTGCTGATAGGATGGTTCGTCTGGGCCACCCGCTGGGGCCATGGGGCCTCTCTGATCTCTGCTGCATCTTCTTCTCACAGGCAGCCCCTGGAATTTTGCCTTCACAGTCAAGTTCTACCCCCCTGACCCTGCCCAGCTGACAGAAGACATCACAAGGTGAGAGCAGTGGAGGGAGGGGCAGGTGTGTGGGCTGTGGAAACGGGGTGGTGTGTGACGGCAGCAGCAAACTCAGACACTCCTGAGGCCAGGCAGACCCTGGCCACCACGGAAGCTGATTCAGTGCTAGAGAAACTGATGCAAACACAATGGTCAATGGCAGGTGACCCTTGACTTCAGAGGGGAGGTGTCACAGGGAGCAGTGGGGACCAATGTGAACCCAAGGGGACAGAGGCCATCTAAGACAGTTGCTGTTCAGCTTGGGCAATCACGGCCTTGTGGGAATAGGGCCCAATTTGAGAGTGAAAACCACAATTTTTAAACATTGTAAACTAATTTAAATTAAAAAAAAACACAGTGTGGGCATCCCTGGGTAGGACCAGCCACATACATCTGCAGATCTGGTGGGCTGGGTGGACCACGAGTTCTCGACTTTGGGGATTAGGAGGGAGCAGAGTGCAGATGTGTCTGCACGTGGGAATTGGTCCTGGGTGCTGTTCTCTGTGCACATCTGGCGTGTGGGGGTCAAATGAAGCGTGCAAGCCACCCCCCACGGAGGCCAGCCCAGCCGCTGGGTGCGCACGGATTGTACGTGCAGTCTCGTTGTGCCTCGGGGCCAGTAGAGAACTCGGCTTGAAGATTGAAAGGGGGTGCAAAGCATCCTTCTGGGTGAGAGCTTCTATGGGGCTCATCCTGACTCTGGAAACCAGAACAGTGAGAGACCCTTCTCTTTATCAAAGCTCATTCCAAAGAGATAGTCTCACTTCATGATGTCCCAGGCTGTGTCCTCCGTGTGCTGGGCCCTGCCCACCCACCAACGGTGAGACATGGACTTGGTGTTATTCCTACAGCAGGGGAGGGCTGTTGAGCCATCCCGTCCCTGCCATTGAGTCCCTCCCTAATAATGTTGGCTGCCTGTTTGCCAGGCAATGGGCCAAGGTCAAGGTGCTGCCTTTGGCCTTGGGAGATAAGACATTTGTCCCTGGAATAGATCTGGCTGGAGGCCTTGGCCTCATTAGCCCTGAGGCCCAGCTTGCAGCCAAGATTCTGCATCCATTCCTGGGAGGACCGAGAGCTTCAGACCAGCTCAGCCCCCACCCCTGTGGCCTTGCCCTCTGCTGCTTCTCTTTGTGCCAGGCCCCAGCTTCCAGGGACCCCAGGAGGGAAGTTCGCCTTGTCCAGCATGGATGACCCCAGGGGATGGGGTGATTTAGTAGAAAATATCCAGGCCCAGAATAAACCGGTCAAAGTGACAAATTGATTGAAATGAAATATCAATCAGAGTGCTTGGTGCTGATTTCTGAAGTCTTAGACTTGAACAAAATGCTCATCTGTCCACATTTGGTGCCTGCAATGTTTGGGCGGCCACTGATTCTGAGCCTTGGCCCTGAGCACACACTGAGGCTGCACATGCTTCCTGCCAGAGCTTCTGACCAGACTGCAAAAGAACATCACGGGCAGTAAAAATTATGTTAAATAAAAGCCACTTAAAACAAAAAGAAACAGGCAACTGAAAAAATGGTGACACATGGCACAATGGGCAAGTAGGCATTGCTGGCAGGGAATGGACTGAAACATTTTTTTAAAATACACAATAACCAAAAAAGCAATAAAAAATGGTTTTAAATGGTCCTAAACATTGTAAAATCATCCAAGTGTGCATAAAAGTTATAAAAAATCATGGCCTAGTGGTTGGAAATGTTTCTTTTAAACCAACTTATTTTTAGACAATTCACTTAGCACTAGAGGCAAAATAAAAAGTGTTGAGAAAACACTGGCGCCCGGGTCCATCCGGGTCCATCTGGGCTGTGGGCACACTGTGCCAAAGACAAAGTGAGTGAGGGCACGTCCCGTGTGCTGACCTGGGAAGAGCTCTGCGGTGCATGGTTGCGTCTGCAAAAGTAAGCTGGAGAGTCAGATGCAGGCTTTGATACCATGTACGCATGAGAAACACGCGTGATTCCAAGCCACGTGCAGGCCTACACATCCACAGAGGGGAAAGGTCTGGAGCAGCACGATGGCGGGGGGACCTCCAGTGGAGGGGATTCTGAGAAAGGACATCAAGAGGACATCTAGAGTCATCTCTGAAGTTTACATTTTTCCACCATCAGCATACGTTCATTGTATAAACAAAAGTACATGACATTTTATGAAAGCGGTCAAAGTAGTCCTAGTTAGCTTGAAAATGAGTTAGAAATTGAAAATGTTCCCACACTAGAAAAAATCCTTCAAACTTAGATGTGAACAAAAAATGCTTCAAGTCATATGAAATGGTGCAAAACACACCCAGATTACCAAAGCACGGAATGCCAGTATCTTCCTTTTCTGCTGGGCTGAGGGTGGTCAGCTTGGTTCTGATGGGGCAGGGGGCAGCCGTGCTGGGGTGGGGGGGCAACTCGGGAGGGAGGGGCCCCGTGCCCATGCCCACTCTCCCCTGTCTCCAGATACTACCTGTGCCTGCAGCTGCGGGCGGACATCATCACGGGCCGGCTGCCCTGCTCCTTCGTCACGCATGCCCTGCTGGGCTCCTACGCCGTGCAGGCCGAGCTGGGCGACTACGACGCCGAGGAGCATGTGGGCAACTACGTCAGCGAGCTCCGCTTCGCCCCGAACCAGACCCGAGAGCTGGAGGAGAGGATCATGGAGCTGCACAAGACGTACAGGTGAGAGGGCCTCCCTGGAACCGTCCCTGCCAGGCCCCCAGAGGCAGTGCCAGAAGGACCCCACCTGGCTCTGCTGCTCATTCGAGGTGCAGATCCTTCACCTCGAATCATCTCATCAGATGGGAATGATAGCAACTAGCAGTGTGACCTTAAATGACCTCTCGGGAACTCAGGTTCTAAGCTCCTCTGTGAGTGTGACAGTTCTGCATCCTTGGCTTCTGAGAATCAGTCTCTTCACCTGCCACCTGGAGATAATGACCATTGTGTGGCCTGATGTCTCGACTGTGGCATAAAGTTCTGTGCTGTAAAGCCTACTGCCTGGGCCTTCTGGCTTGGCCCCTTTCTAACAAGGGGGTCTCAGCCTTGTCATTTTACTTTCCTCTGCTTTAGTTTCCTCATCTGTTTCGTATGGACGCTAGTAAAACTTGCCATGGACAGTTGTTCGGCTAAATCACCACATGCAGTAGCTGATTGTGCAGAAACAAAAAGCACTTTGTTGCAGAAGCTCAATGATTAGCTGGCTATTTAACCTGTCAGCCTCATTTTTTAAAGATTTTTATTTATTTATTTTTAGAGAGGGGGAAGGGAGGAGAAAGAGGAGGAGAAACATCAATGTGTGGTTGTCTCTTGTGCGCCCTCTACTGGGGACCTGACCCGAAACCCAGGCATGTGCCCTAGACTAGGAATTGAACCTGCGACCCTTTGGTTCTCAGTCCAGTGCTCAGTCCACTGAGCCACACCAGCCAGGGCAAACCAGCCTCATTTTTTACCTGTATTTGTACAGACTTAGATTATCAGTTTCTCAACTAGTGGTATTTGAAGGAAGAGAATTCATTCTGGAGGATGTGTGGTATCCCTGGGTCCCAGCCATTAAATGCTCCTATCACCTCCTCAGTTACCGTAGCGACCCAAATGCCCCTCCCCCATTTCCAAATGCCCACTATGAGGGTGGTACCAGTCCCCTGGCAGGGAACCTCTGAAACTGAATGGTCTCTAAGGTCCTTTCAAGCTGGAAGTGTTTTGGGCTCCAAGGCCAGGGTTGTTATGGAAACCCAACGTGGGAAACAACGGGAAAGTGCATTATGAGCTGTAAGGTGTGGTGTGTGGTGGTGTTATCTCATTGCTAATAAGGATGGAGGGAATGAGGAGCGTTGTGTCCTGGGGGCTGCACCAGGAGCGGATGCCCAGGGCCAGATGTGGGGAGGAAAGCCTGGTGGGGTGTGACCCAGAATGTGGCATCTGGGTGGCAAATGTGTCTTTCCAAGACCTGCACACCAGCTCCAGTTGGTTAGCAATGGCCGTTGTTGTATTGTGCTGAGTGGGATGCTGAAACCATGCAACTAGTTAGCAGCGTCTGCCTGGCCCAGGACTAGGATGGCCTGCCTGCCATCCCTTTGTCATTCCTGTCATAGGTAGTAGGATGTGTGAGGGATTTGCAAGGCATACCTCGTTTTATTACACTTCACAGATACAGCATTTTCAATAAGTTGAAGGTGAGACCCTCCCCCAGCAAAAGGATTATGAGTTGCTGAAGGCTCAGATAACAGTTAGCATTGTTTTTAACTATACAGTATTTTTAAATTAAGTATATCCATTTCATGTACATAATACTATTGCATACTTAATAGACTACAGTGTAATGTAAACATCACCTTTACATGCACTGGGAAACTGAAAAGTTTGTGTGACTCACTTTATTGTAACATTCTGGTGGCCTGGAAGTGAACCTGCAATGTCTTAGAGGTGTGTCTGTGATTCCGAGAAAACAGCTCAGGTTGCTCTGGGCTGGAGAAATGCTAACAGCGTCTCATTACAGCTCTTTTGACTTAGAACACATTGACATCTAGTGTCCAGATCCCACAGAGTGGGTCACCAAGGTGGACAGAGCAGAGGAGACTGAGGCCCAGAGGAAAAGAGACGGATGTAAGAGTAGTGGTTGGGAACACAAACTCTGGATTCAAATCCTCACTTTTTTGTTTAAGATTTTATTTATTTATTTTTAGAGAAGGGGAGGGAGGGAGAAAGAGAGGAAGAGAAACATCAAGGTGTGGTTGCCTCTCATGTAGTCCCCACTGGGGACCTAGCCCGCAACCCAGACATGTGCCCTGACTGGGAATCGAACCTGCGACCCTTTGGTTTACAGCCTGCGCTCAATCACTGAGCCACACCAGCCAGGGTCTGACTTTGCTACTTAATAGCTGTGTCCTTAGGCAAGCTATTCAACCTCTTTGTGCCACAGCTTCCTTGCACGTACAATGGGAATAATGATAATACCTACTTCATAGAATTGCTTTGAGGATTTAGTAAGTTCAGACATGTAAAGTGATTGGAACAGTAACTGCATGTAGTCCTTATTAAGTGTTCGCTGGGACTAAGTGTAAGATGTGTGGTGTTCTGGAAGTCAAAGCAAAGGAGGAACTTCGGTTACATAACTCTTCTTTCCAGAAAGGAGATTGGGCACCTGTTCCTCAGGAGAGGTTATGTGGTTTCTCATATCATATTCTAAGATAAATATCTTATGTGGGTAGTAATTTAGGGGCCCCTGGGTGGGCCCATAATTTATAATGGACAAAGTCTTCACGATGGCTTCATAGTCACAGAAAAGCAGAATTTATGGCTCACATTGAACTCAGTGGCAGAATGAGCCAAAAATCCTGAGTCCCAGCCCAGCCCTTGAATGCTTCCTGGAGGAAGCAAGATTGGACTTGAGCTTTGGCAGGAGACGGGTTGGGCAGGCCGGAGAGGAATCTGGGGGTACACTGTCCTGCACTGAGAGCAGAGGCCGGGAGGCCTAGCCCTACACCTGCTCCAGAACATCTCCCTTCCAGAGTCACAGGGTCTGACTGTGGTCACCTTCCGGCAGCAGGACCCAGGCCTGGGCCTTCCCCATGGCCACCTGTGATCATTTTCTTTCCCTTAGGGGCATGACCCCTGGAGAAGCAGAAATCCACTTCCTAGAGAATGCCAAGAAGCTTTCCATGTACGGAGTAGACCTGCACCATGCCAAGGTACCGCTGGGTCCCAGGGTCCCCCTAGCATCCTGGGATGTCCCCAGAGAACTACCATGTTCCTATGGAGGGCTTGGTGTGCCAGGCCTGTGTCCCTGGCAACCTAAAGCCTTTTCTGCTCTCATTTCTCATTCCCCGAAGTTCCATAGCCCTTTATTCTCCCACGCCCATCGTCATTTCCTCCTTGTGTTGTATTTATTCTGGGACCTGTTTGTGCCGTCCCTAGATAGGGGGCAGCGTGAGGGGAAGCCGAGGCCTTCATTTACTTCTGTTTCCCGAGCATGTGAGCGCATGGCCTGGCACCACAGATGCACCACGGGCTGTTTGCTGGGTGAATAAGCGATGAGCAGAGCACGTGACTCAACAAGAAGTGGGCGTGTGAATGACAAAATGAGCGGGAATGGCTGAATGGTTGTGTGAGGAATCGCTTGGGAGCTCCAGCGTGGGGGCTCGAAGTCCACCGGCTTCTTAGGGCTCGTTTATGAACAGAGCTCAGGGAGGGACTCGGGGGTCAGCGGCAGGTTGCCCCGGGCGTGGACGCCGGCCTGCTGCTCCATGGTCCCTTCTCGCGCAGGACTCTGAGGGCATTGACATTATGTTAGGCGTCTGCGCCAATGGCCTGCTCATCTACCGGGACCGCCTGAGAATCAACCGCTTCGCCTGGCCCAAGATCCTCAAGATCTCCTACAAGAGGAGTAACTTCTACATCAAGATCCGGCCTGGGGAGGTGAGCCTGACTTGGGAACCCCTCGTCCTCCCCAAATCGACTAGACTGGAGAGGGACCTGGCAGCAGGCCTGGATTTCCCGACTCAGGATGCGTGGATGGGGCGCTGGGATCCGGCTGTGGAGAGAGCCGTCTTCCGCTGGGCTCCTTTTGGAGACGCACACCTTAGGTGTGTGCCTGCAGGAGTGCATGCCCGAGCACTCACCCGAGCACACGTATAAAGATAACCACACATATTCAGTGCACATAGAGCAGTGAATATGTGTCCATGTCCCTGTTTGTTTACATGTAATAGTCAAGTATGTACACACAGTAAGATACATATAGACACACAGTTACACACACACACACACACACACACACGTATACATCCAACCTCCACAGCTCACCCATGAAAAGTTCCGTTTGGTTCTGCCTCTAGAATCAATGTAAACCCATCTGCTTTCCTCTGCACTGCGCCTGCCCCCGACAGCCACCGTCTCTCACCTGCATCTCTGCGATGTCCTTCTCACTGGCTTCGCTGCCCCCATGGTCACTCCAGGCCATTACCTCATAGCTGCAGAAGAGAGCTTAAAAGCCCCTTCCATCATATCGCGTCCCACTCACCCTGCTCCCACGCCTGCTTAAATATTTCAAGAGCTCTCTCCAGCTAAAGTGCAAACTCTGTCTGTGACCACCTGCCTTTCCCACATACTGCCGCCCTGCTGCCTGTCCCACACCCTCTGTGCCCTGGCCCCTTTGGCCTTCTCTGAAATTCTTGAATAACCAAGCTCTTCCCCATCAGGAGCCCTTTGCTTTGGATCTTCCCTCACCTGAAATCCTCTTCCACACCTTCTCAGGTGGCTGGTTCCTTCCCCATCCTTCGGATCTCCACTCAAAGATCACCTGTTCAGAGGGCATTTCCTGGTCACCATTTGCACAATAGTACCCAGCCCTGCACCTACCCAGGCTTCCTCTGTCGCTTCACACACCTCTGTTCTTTCCCTTTATGACCTTAGCCGTGTCTGAAATCATCTTGTTTACTTGTTTATTATCAAAGTCCCCTCCTCTCTGAATCTTCTGTCATGGTGTTTCTTGCTTTGCACAAGACCTGTCACAGAGTGAGGGCTCAGTCCACATTATTGAGTAAATGAGTGAATAAATGAATGAACAGGCCAGAGTCACACAAGCTGAGAAGAGGTTCAGAAAGGATGGGCTGGAGGCGAGAGGGCCCAGGTCTTCCTTCTTACCCACCCTGCCGCTTGGTTTTGCAGTATGAGCAGTTCGAGAGCACCATTGGCTTTAAGCTCCCAAACCACCGGTCGGCCAAGAGGCTGTGGAAGGTCTGCATTGAGCACCACACGTTCTTCCGGTGAGCCAGACCCTAGGGCGGGGTGACCGGCGCTGTGACAGAGGCCGCGAGTGTATGTGTGGGCGATGTCTGTGTTTTGTGAGGGGAGACCAGGAGTAGCTAGTAAGGACCCTGGGAAAGACCCGCCTCCCCTCCTTTCTCTAAGTCTCCCCACTCCTGGACCACTTAGAATTGTAGCTGGTGGGACAATGGGATTCAAGGTCAGCTGTGGTCCAGCCTTGGGCCTGGCAATGCAGGTGTGATCCCCCCTCCGCACCTCCATCCCTCCACTGCAGGCTGGTGTCCCCCGAGCCCCCACCCAAGGGCTTCCTGGTGATGGGCTCCAAGTTCCGGTATAGTGGGAGGACCCAGGCGCAGACCCGCCAGGCCAGCGCTCTCATTGACCGGCCCGCACCCTTCTTCGAGCGTTCCTCCAGCAAACGGTACACCATGTCCCGCAGCCTTGATGGAGGTATGCCCCAAACTGGAGGTGGGGGAAGAGCGGTGTTCAGAGGGAGGGGGATGGGCACACCAGGTGCAGAGTGAGCAGAGGAGGTGGTAGACATAGCACAGGCTGATTTGCACCGGGCCTGGTGGCCTGAGAGCTCGGCTGCACCCGGGCGGCGCTCGGTGGTTCAGCCCCGACCTATGGCCTCACTATCGCTGGGATGTGACATAGCCACTCCTGGACTTCCTGTGACTTCTCTGAGCCTTTTGGGTCCCAGATTTAGCCATTTGGTCTTTGGGACCCCCTGCCCAGGCTGCTTAATGATTCACACACTGTCATCATACCAGGAGAATGCTGCGCTGTGGCCGCAATGTGGATGTGGTGATGCCCTCCCTGACTGGAGGCGGAAGGGTTGTTCCCACTCTTTTGGTTTCGTTGAGCTGATTGACATCTAACCACATGGCGTTCTCCTCTTGGGCAGACAGGCGCCCCCAATACCAACCAGAACTGGCCCTACATTTCCTGTATCAGACAGACCAAGGCGTCCTCAGAATGAGGCCCGTAGACCACCTGCATCACAATCACCTGTGAGTTCTGGGAAACACTCAGATTCCCAGGCCCTGGCCCAGACTTACTAAAGCAGCACTGCAGCCAGGACTGCCCCCAGTGTGCACACTGGAGTTCGTAGGACAGAGTTAGAAGCCACATGGGACACTGGAGAGATCCAGAGTTTGGCAGATCTGAGTTCGAATCTCAGCCTTGACACTCAGCGGCTGCTCTGTGGACACAGGATGTGTCCCACAAACATCTGGATGAAAGGATGGGAGGCCTCGAGCAGCTCAGCTCCCTGTGCCTGTTTCCTCGTCTGCTTTGCTGTGTTCTGAGATAGTGCCTCTACAACACCCAAAACAGTTCCCGGCACATAGTAGGGCCTTAGTAAATGATACCCTGATGAAAATAAAATAGAATAATCTTCCTGTAAAAAATAATAATGGCCAATAATACATTATTGTTTATTGTAGCAATAGTACATTATTTTTGCTTTTAAGTTTGTAGAGGGTGGTTTGTAGGGAGGAAGTGGGGCCTTGAGTGGGGCAGCAGTGAATGCTCCCAGAACACACTGGGGCAGGCCTCTAGGCAAGTAAGTTCCACTCTACAGACATTTTCTGAATGTTAAATACGGCCCTTTCCTTTGAGGAACTCCTAGAACAGTAGTGTTGTGAGCATTTCATGTGATTCAAGCAGTGGGAGAAGCATGCACAGAACACAGAGCAGCCTTGAGGAGAGAGGGATGGATTCTGTCTGGGAGGAGCAGAAAGGGCTCTGCAGAGAGGCTGATAATGGTGAGGGTTTTGAAGGATACCTAGGAGTTTTCCAGGTGATCAGGGGATTCTGGTGTTTTTCCTGTAGTATGAAGGTGAGACCTGTCCCAGGACCCCCTGGCCATTTTCGAAGGACATGCAGTTTTGCAAGAGTCCATTTGTGGCTGGGGAAGCCCCTTGTTGTCCGTGAGTGGGTGAGGGCTGAGAGCTAAGAGTTGCCATATATCGCCATGTATAATGTGCCCCCACGGATGATGTGCACCCACGTTTTTGGCCCAAATTTGCAGGAAAACTTTTGTTTTAATTGTTTGATTCAGTTGTTTACTTATTTATATTTAGAAACAAAACTGATTATTATATTCCAGGGTATTATTTTGCATATGGATACCAATATTGCTTTCTAGAGTTACACTTTAATGCATAAGCACAAAGAAAGGAATTAAAAACATTTGTATAGATGTGGAATTCATACTACCCATGTATGATGCATACCCTTATTTTTCCCTCAAAAATTTGGGCAAAAAAATTACACATTATACACGGTGAAATGCGGCATGCAGAAGGAAAGGAGGGCCCCCACTGTCTGTCTGTCTGTCCTCCCCTGCAGTTTTCATTACTAGGCCAGGGGCTGAATGAAGCCCAGATTGTGCAAGGCAGGAGAAATTGGCCCACATTTGGTGAGGCTCATCAGGAGGGGACCGGAAGCCTGGACTCTAAGCCAGTAGGCCTGGGTTCTTCTCCTGCTTCTCTCAAAGGTCTCAGAGCCTCCTGTAGTCCTCTGTGAAAGGAGGATAGTAATTTCCATTCTAGCCATCACCACAGAGCATTGTGCGGCCCAGATGAAATGATGTGCATGACGGGGCACTGGGCTGAGTAAACATGTATGACTGGAAAGAATAATTCTCTCCTTTTTAATCTAGGCCAGTCTCAAGGATGACCTGTGCTCTGGTCATTTTAATTCAGTGTTTCCCAGCCATTTTTTCCTACCAAGACGCAGTCCATGGGCATAGTCTGGGCTGTGCCCAGAGCCTGGTGTAAAGGGTGTAATTCCACTTCTTCCTTTCCTGCTCTGGAAAGTGCTTTAGAAAGCTAGCAAGTGAGAGAGGTGTTATTACTGCAGGGGTCCCCTTGGATTAACCTCTCACGATATCCGTGTACTGCTAAATAATGGTCAAGTTAGTATTCTGCCGCAAACGCCACAAGAAAATCAACATTTGTGGGCCATCACTGATTGAATTGGCTCACTCTGTGCCAGCCACTCTTCTAAATACTTACACACATTAGCTTATTTGTTTCTACCCCTCCCCGCAGCTGTCTAAAGTAGGTGCTGTGTATAGATGATAAAACCGAGGCCCAGAGAGGTTGCAGAACTTACCCAAGGTCACACAGCCAAGAAGAGGTGGATTTGAGCTTTGAATCTGGGCTCTAGTGCTGTAGATATCAGGAGGGGTCCAGGGCTAGGAGGCAGTCCACGTGACCTGGGGAAGGCCACCTCACTTCACTTCAGCTGGGCACCGGCTTCTGGTCCCCAGTGTGTTGGGGTGTGGACGTGTCTGCCCCACTCCAAGCACGGTCGAGCAAGTGCACCTGGCAGGTGTCTCACACGGCCGCCTGGCTGTTTCTGCCCCTTTAGCAGAGTTCTCCCGCCCAGCCTCGGTCAGTGAGAACCACGACGCAGGACCTGATGGTGACAAGCGGGAGGAAGATGGCGAGTCTGGGGGGCGGCGGTCAGAGGCTGAGGAGGGAGAGGTCAGGACCCCCACCAAGATCAAGGAGCTAAAGGTAGGAGTCTGGCTTTCTCACACCCTCTGATCCTGTGTTTAGCCTTGGCTTGGCCTTCAGGTGCCCCAGCTGTGGCCAAACGCCCTTGCTATGGGGTGCGCTGTGTTCAGGGCCTTGCCATTGGGCCACGTTCAATACCTGGACATGCCCAGGTGTGGGGTGCATACTGCCCACCCTACACCCTCCTTTTGTTCTGCTTTCCCGGAGGGACACAGTGTCCCCTAGGGGACTCTGGCCTCCTCTTGCCCATTCTCAACTTGCCCTTTTGACTACGATTTGAATCTGCACAGCCCCCTTTTTCTGCAGAGCATGATGGGGTGTTTCTGCGGGTCCTCACAAGTGTCCCCCTCCTGTGGCCCACCTCCATTTCCCACACACTACGCACACACTCAAGCAGGCACACACGGCCTCAGACTCGCATGCACGAGTTCACTCACAGAGGTGCACCCCTCACCCGGAGGGTCACACACCCAGATTGTCAAACGGCACGCACGCGGGCGCGTGCACACACGGCTGGCGTGTGTTTCCGTCACGCAGCCCCCCTGGGAGCACAGGTCCCTGAGCACACACGCCGACTGCCCGCAGCAGGAGTGCCCGGACCGCTCACTTCCATCTGCTGAGCGTGACTGGCTGCTCACTCTGCCTCTAGTCCTCCCGCCCCTTCTTCACCGCCCTGGGCCAGCTCCCCGCTTCACACCCCACACCTGTGACCCCTCACTGCGCGTGGGGTGCCCACCCGGCTTCCCTGGCCTCTGTTGCCTGGGTGACAGCGCTCACTCTGGACTACCTGCTGGCCCAGGTCGGTCGCGGTGTCTCTAACCCATTGGCTCTACTGACCCTGCCGGTTCCTTTCCCTCCTCCCACGTCCGCTAGCCGGAGCAGGAAACCACGCCGAGACACAAGCAGGAGGTACTGCATGGGACCTGTCCCTACCTACCCAGCTCATTTGTCACCATCCCACAGTCCATCCCAGGCTCATCTGGTGCCACCTCAGCTTTAGCTTCACCTCTGCTCCCTAGCCATCTCCCCCCGCCAGATTCCCCCGTCCCATCCCCCACCCAACCACCCTCAGCCCCCTGGATAAGGTCATCTCTCCAGCATCCCGCTCAGACTCCACCCCCAGCAGTGTTTCCCCTTCCTCCTGACCCCCCACTCTACCCAGCTTCATTCCACCTCCCCAGATCTCCCTCGCTGCCCCTCACCCCCGCTGACTGTCCCACTTGTGTTCCCAGCCCTTCCAGGCCATTCTGTGCTTTCAGTGAGCTCATCTCGCCCTCAAACCCTTTCTTTGACTCATCTCTTCATCTGTGTCCCTTGTCCCCTCACCCCAAGCTTCTTTTTGTATCTGTTGGCAACCTTGTGGGAGGGGTGGGAGGGAGGAGCCTCGGAGCACATCTGTATTTTCTCAGATTCTGTTGCCCCTCCCTCTGGGCGGGGCCTGCTGCTCCCGCTGTCAGGACAGCCTCCTCCCTTTCTGCTGCCCTCTCTCCTCTTCCTCTCCCCTTGTTGCTTCTCTCACCTTATCCTCCTGCGTTAGCTACTTCTTCCGTTTCACACTGTCTCCAACTCTTCATCTGAGCTTTCATTGCGAGAGAAGCAGATGTATTCTTGGGCCCAAGGGGAAGAGCCAGAGGCTGGGGAGTAAGAAGGGCCTGGCCTTGGAGTCAGGTGGCCTGGGTTTTAGCCCTGAGTCTGTCACTGATGTCACTGAGGGCCTTGGGGATGACCCCTCAGGCCCCAGCTCCCCATCTGCACTTAAGGCTTTTGGACTAGGCCTCCCCAGGCCCTTCAAGGATCTCAGGTTTCCGCTGCCCCCTCTGGCCTTTGGGAGCACTGCACGCCCACACAGCCAGAGCAGCGGGTACACGCCAGAGGGTCATGGGACACCTCTCGGGTCCTTTGTAGCCCAAACCTGTGCCCTGTGCAAATGCCATCAGGTTTGATTTCTCAGACATCGTCTTGACACCGCTCGGCTCAGAAAAGGATGCCAGAGGGACAGACAGGTGTTTGGAGGCAAAGCAGAAGCCCCAGTAGCATTGGTTTCCTTTCTGAGGTCACCTCGGAATCAATCCTAGTGGATGCCTGGGTGTCAGAGATAACCCCGGGGGAAGAGTCTAGCTTGTCCAAGCACAAGCTTAGCTTCCAAGTGGTTCTGGAATCATTCGAACTGACTTTCTAATAAGCTGAGACTGTCCATTTCTTGCCCTGAACTGCGTTGACATGAATCCTCAACAGCCTTGCAGACAAGGGTCCTTGGACTACCAGCCCGCCGCCCTGCCCCCAGAAGCAGGCGGACAAGCAGCTTTGGCAGGTCACCATCATCTCCTGTGCCAGGGCTGCACTGCAGGTGACCTAGGGTCAGACTGCTCTGCCACGATGCACTGGCCAGAGCTCAGACTTGGCAGTTTAACATGGAACACACCTAGGACTGCACCTGTACCTGGCTCAGCTCCTGTGTCCAGCCTTGGACTCACTGCTCTTCTTCCTGGTCTGTAATTCTCCTAATCCTCCTGAACACCCCACACCATCCTAGTTTCTCTCTCTGGCTGCATCTCACCCTGTCTGCTGTTGAGGAGTCAGTACCCACAGGGCATCTGGAAGATCCGGGGTAGCTGGGAAAGGTAGTGGCTGTCAGCAGAGAATACTGAACACAATCTTTTTCTGGTCCCTGGTTCCTGGTGTGGGAGCAGAGCCCATTTTACCGGATGTCCCTGGCTTTAGAAGGGCCCCACAGGGCTTAATTAACAGCATATTTTGGGCCAGGAGGGACCTAGACTGGGGATCCTGCTAAGCACAGTGGCTCAAGTCTTGGTCAGAGGTGGGGACCAGGGTCTGGGAGGCCAAGGAGGAGGCCAGAGCCACCCAGTGAACAGGGTTGGCGAGTTCTCACTCTACCTTGGCTGTGAGCGAAGGGAAGTCACCTTTGTGCCTAGGACTGGGCTCATAGCACCAAAGGGAACTTGCCCAGACCTGTGGGTGTTGGTTGGGTTGGGCTCCAAGGGCAGGAGCCAAACAGGGGAGAAGAAAAAGTGGTGCTTGACCACAAGTCTCCCCTTTTTAACTTCAAATGCGCTGTGCACCTGTTGGGGCTAACATCCTGGCCCCGCTTGGCTCATGAGGTGCTGTGAGAGCGACACCGGGTCATGGATGGGATTCCCCTTGCTGATATGGGACAGCGGTGGTGGCTGTTAGCATCTTCACCACAACCCGCACCCCATCATGGAGCTGGTCCTCTAATGCCTGGCTGTCCTCTCCATCCACCCCTAGTTCTTAGACAAGCCGGAGGACGTCTTGCTGAAGCACCAGGCCAGCATCAACGAGCTCAAGAGGACCCTGAAGGAACCCAACAGCAAACTGATCCACCGGGATCGAGACTGGGAGCGGGAACGCAGGCTGCCCTCCTCGCCCGCCTCCCCCTCCCCCAAGGGCACCCCTGAGAAAGCCAGTGAGGTAGGTCTCACCCCCAAGCCCCTCGACGGGGGCCTTGGGTAACCGGGGTGGGGAAGGTTGCTATGTAGTGCCTCACTGTCAGCCTCCACACCTGTGTGCTCCTCCCCACTGCTGCATACGGGGGTGATGGGGATAGGGTGGCGGGTTAAGCTAAGGAAGCCAAAGTCACTAAATCTTGGAATCCACAATCCCAGGGACCACTCCACAAAACTCACAGTAACCTGGTGTATTCCCCTTCCATCAGCCAGAGTATGATGGGGAAGGAGTGCTTGTCAGAAAAGCAGGTTCTGGGGCCTCCTGTCAAACCTCCTGAATGTGAATATTGGAGGCAGAGCCCTGGAATCAGCATTTGAAACAAGTGCCCTAGGCGGCTCCCATGCACACTAAACTTTAAGAATCAGGGTAGCTCTGTCCAGTGACCAGACCCTTGCATGCCTGTTGTGAAAGCGCAGATAGAGGAGTGTTCCCTCCCGGAAGGATGCTCAGAGGCCCCTGGAGGGAAAGAGGTCCTCCGGGAAAATCGGAGCTACTCCTGTTGCCTCCGAAAAGGATCGCACACGACCTGCCCGTCAGAGTGGAAAGCAACTGAACAAGGGAAAGACAGGGTCTTGAGACTTCCTGTACTGATGATCCCAACTCGTCGTTGTTAGCACTGTGACGTTGTGGCAGCGTTTGCCCCCGTTTATACTCAAGTGTTTTCTCCCCAGTGCTGCTGCTTACTGGGCTCCAACCCGCCTCCTGGGTTTGAGCTCTGGCTCAGCTGTCTGCTAGCTGGATGACCCTGGGCTTGTGGCTTAGCCTCACTGAGCCTCTGTTAGGTAGAGGTTATAAAGCATCTGCTTCTCAGGAATGTTGTGAGGAGCGGATGGGATCAAGCATGGAGAGGCCAACAGAGACCCGGATGCTCAACACTTACTGTTTCATTTTGAGAGTCCCGGTTCTCACTCAGAAGGTAGACTTTGGAGGCGTCCTCAGAACCCGCTTGGTTCAAGGTCATCCCTTCACGGATGGGGCCTTGAGGCCCAGGGAGGGAGGAACTTTTCCAGTGTCATAGTTGATTGAAGAAGAGCCAGAACCTGGTTTTCTTGTGTCCCAGGCATTGCGTTTGCTATTAAATCACAGCTGTCCAAAAGCAAGACCAAATCAAGGGAAGACCAGACAGAGGGTCAGCTGCGTGCCTGCTGCCCTCTGATGCTTCGACAGTTGGTGATGCAGCCATGACCGATAAGCAGGGCACTCCACTGACTCAGCACTCCCCTCGGCCTTGGCCGACCGAGTAACCGAGGGCCTCGTGCAGTGAGGCTGCTGTGGTAGCTCCCTGGCTGGCGATTCACAGAGCGAGGGATGACTTGGGGGTCTTTGGGGTGGTGCCATGGAAGGAGGGCACATCTCTGCATCCGTCAAGGGCTTCTGTGGTCATCTTTGACACAATCGAGACCCTGAAGGTGCTAAACTGGGCCGTGGGGGCTGGTCTAGTGATCCAGTTACATGCCCCACACTCCTGCTCTGAGACACTTGACCTGTGTGGCCTCTCCTCAGTCCTGAAGCCGGTGAGGTAGGGTGCAGGGACTTCGGAAAGGGTTGGACTCCAGCTGAGGAGGATGAGATGTGCCCTGCAGCACTGGGCTCTGGAGCATTCTTTGGGCGGGCCTCAGAGCAGCCTGGCTTGGGGGGAGTGCTCCACCTGTTGGTGGAAGCAGGAACTGCTAGAAGATGGGCAGAGTCTGTTCCACCTCCTCTCTTCTCACTGCTGTCCCAACAAGTGCAGCCCACTGCTGGAAAGAAGTTTGGTGGAGGAGCTCACCTTGAGCATTGAGAGGCCCTCGAAGATCTGGGAGATGGGGAGGAAACTTTGCTGGGGACTGATTTGAGTCCTTGGGCGAGTGACCTCACCTCTCTGAGCCTCACTGGCTAGTCAGTCTGTCTAAAGGGAACTAAAATTACCACTCTTTATGGTGGGGTGTTTGGGAAGGTTGGGCAAAATAATGGATATAAATGGACTTTATAAACCGGGAGATGTGGACAGTCATGAGGCCATTGCTGATGGTGGTGAGAACTCCCGCTCCAGGTACGAGCTTTGCAGGGCTGTCCTGCAGGGGGTTTCACCCAGGTTTTCTCAGAGCTTCCTCATACACTGTTGAGCTTCATCTGGGCTGAGGGGAAAGCAGGAGGAACTTAAACAGGGACCCCAAACTATAGAGAAGTGTTCCCATTTGCCAAGCCCAGGTTTCCGTGTCAAAGATAACTTCTTTAAAGGGCCCAAGACCCAAACTATAGGATTGCACGATTGTCTAAACTAAAGACACCCAGACAGGACTTGGAACTGGAGTGCTCAAGTGACAAGGCTCCAAAACCTCTTGAATGAGAACAGGCAGGCGATGGGGACAGTGCTGGCTGGCAGCTGACCCCTTGACTGGCTCGGAGGGGCAGTTCCTTTCTGTCTCGCCCCACGGCGCAGCTCCTTCCTGACCTCCTCTGTAAACGCTAAGGATGTGGGCTTTACAAAGTGGGGCTATTTACGGACTCTGTGTGTGTGTCTCTCCTGTTCTCTCTCTCTCCCTCTCCCTCTCCATCTCTCCTTCCCTGCCTCCCTCCTTCCCTTTCCTCTGGCCCCGGGCCTCCCCTGCAGTCCCAGAGGACCCAGGACACCTCTCAGCAGGATTTGGCACCTGAGCCTGGGACGGCCACAGGCTTGGAAGTGTTCACTCAGAAAAGCCTCGCAGCGTCTCCTGAGGTTACTGTCATCACCTCCCCTCCTACCCAGAACCCCCCTAACGGTCTTAAGAAACTCCTCTCTCTGGGGTGGAGGGGGTGGACCAGGCTCTGCCGTGCACATGGGAGCCGGGGGCAGCCCTCATTGTCTCCATGCAGGACACATGAGCATCCCTGTTCTGGCGATCCACAAAGGGCAGGCCGCTCCCTCATCTCTTGTGTCCCAGGAATTGGGACTGAGACCATTCAAGGAAGATAGAACAGCCCGAGTCACCTCTGGCCTCAGGGGGAGGCAGAGATGATTTCCCCACGGGCCAGGCAGAGCCAAGTGGCTCTAGAAGCAGGCCCTGCCTTTTAAGCTTGGAACCTGAGGTCATGGCCCCTATGCGCCTTCTGCCCTAAGGTCTTGTTTCTGTTCAGAAGCCTGAGTGAGGTCTAGCCGTGGCTGCTTGGAGGATGGCATCCCATCCCTCCCCACCTCTTTCTGCTCTAAACTCCCCTTGGAGCTTGGGCCACTCAGGGTCTCCAGACAAGATACTCTGTGGGCATCTTGCTCCAGGGAGTATCCTTGGGGTCACAGAGATGTTGTCACGCAAGTGTTCTAAATGAGGAGGGCATAGCATCTGTGCCCGGGAGAGCAGCAGGTCGAGGGCTCTGGGGACTTGCTGTGCCCCTGCACGGATGCCAAGTGGAATCCAGGCCCAGGGAGCAGGGGCCGCATCTCCCCCCACGTCCAGCACCTCAGGACTGTCAGGATTGGAAGGTACTGACCGATCATCTGGGCGAAACTCCCTTCTCCCTGACCTACGACCGTCCTCTGTTGGCACAGTGTGTGAGGGCATCCACCTTTCTCAGTTCCCAGAGAAGAATTCTGTAGCTGCCCAAAACATGTGGGAACCGTGTAAGAGGCACGAGTCAGCTACAGTGGCGGTAAAACATAAATCACAATTCTACCCTGAATCTTTCCTCAGTTGTCAAAATAAAGACGAAACTATCGGCACTCTCTTGAGAGGTTGGACAGGAGTCAGCAGCGTGCCAAGGTTAGGGAAGCACTGGTCCCCAGAAGCACAGACACGCCCCTAGAGCCGGGGACAGATGCCTGGACTCAGGGGTGGGGCAACCTGCGTCCTTTATCAGCATTCCTGAAAATTGTCCATCTGGCCCTTTTCACGGAGGGGGCTCTGCCTGTTCGTAACGGTAGCTCCTTTTGCCTTCAGTCCTCCATTGTGAAGTTTTCATATTGAGCTATCTGACCTTCTGAATCGCCTGTCTGTGGGCCTCCCTCTGTCCCCAGGCCCCTTAGACCTGCCCTCAAGGCCCTTGGGAGCTGAGCACCAGCCAAACCTCTTTCTTCAGCAATTTCTCCCAGGGCATAGCTCCTAGAGGGCTCCTCATCCTGGACCCCTCCTCTGGGCCCAGAATGTGACCCAGAGCTCCAGGTGGAGCCTGAGCGGCCTGGAGTCAGCACAGCTGCCTGGCTGAAGATTTTCTCCTTGTCAGTGGCCTGTGTGGAAGCAGAATGGGTTCCGCTGGGCTCCCAGGTTCTGTCCCGTGGCCGTCTTGCCGCAGTGCCTCCATCTGACAGCAGAGGGCGCTCTGAGCAGACGCTGAGCCGGCGCTGAGGGTCCTGGCTCAGTGGAAACAATGGCTGTGGGACTGGCACCCCTGACATCTTCCCATCCTCAGTCCCTAGGGCCCCTTGTGGCCCTGCTAGTGTTGTGGTGCCAGTAAAGCGTTTGTCCTTTCTGTTCAGTCTTTTCTCTTGAGGTTCCTACATACCTACTTTCACTTGTTAGAAGCAGAACCTCTCCCTCGCTCAGGGCTCACTGTCATCTGTGCCCATCACCTCCTGCTGGGAGCCTCCCTTCCCCCTTCTGAAATAAAGGGAACAGCGCATGCATCCCAGGTTGCCACGTGGGTTAAATTTACTGTATTTTTCAGACTATAAGACGCACTTTTCTCCTCTCCCCCGCCAATTTGGGAGGAAAGGGGCGGGGTACCTCTTATAGTCTGAATGTAGCTTTACATTGGTGAAATATTATGTTATTTATATTATGAAATATTTTACCACACTTTTTGCTTCAAAAATTTTTTTCCTATTTTTCTTTTCTAAAACCTAGGTGCGTCTTATGGTCCGAAAAATACAGTAATAGCTTAGACCAGCAGTTTTTAACCAGTGTGCCATGAGAAATTTTAAAACATGCAGCACCTGACTATTTAGTCAGGGGCACTGACCTCTTTTCCCTTAGGTGGTCAGATTAAAACATGCCAACAGCCAACACAATAGCCATCCGGTGTGAATGAATCAAAATTATACCTATTCTTTTTGTTAGATCGGCAAAAAATGCATTTTTTGGTGTGCAGCAGAATTTCAGTAATTAGTTCACGTGTGCCACGCGATGAACAAGGTGGAAAACCGCTGACTCAGGCGAAGGGCTGACACTGCCTAGCACAAAGTGACAAACACAAGTACATTGCCCTTTCTCGTCCTGTGCAGTCTTTCTGTTCTGTGCCGGCTCCCACCCCACTCAGCCGAGGAGGCTTCTAGGTTCCAGTTAGACTTGGGGCAGGAGTGTCCCAGAAGGGAATTCATGGGCCATTGCTGGCCCATCCTTCCACGCTGAGGATGTCAGTAGAAGCCGAAGTGGGAGCAGCTAAAGACACCTGCCCCCCAGGTGGACGAGAAAGGGGGCCTGGTGTCGGGAGGCCCTTGGATCACTTCTCTCTGGGAGGGCTCGGGTGCTACTGTCCCGAGTGTTCAGCCGCCTGAAGTGAAACCCCAGAGCCTGCGCCTGACCTGACCTGGGCCTTCCCCCTTCCTTTCACATCTTCCTCCGTTGGCGAGATTCTCTCAGTGGGGTTTGCTTCCCTGACAGTCACGGGGATTTTGCTGGAATGGGGTGGGGGAGTGGAGGGAAGAGGTTTACACTGTTCCCTCGATCCTTCGGAATCCTTTAGACCCTATGGGATCTGACAGACTCCTCACCAAGGCATAACCTGAGTCAGAGCCCAAGGTCAGGTAACCCCCCAGCCTGTTGTCGGGAGCACTTTGGGGCACCTCCTCCTGGGACTTGGAGCGGAGGCTGCTCCTAGGCCTGCCTTTGCCACTAGCTCACTCTCTGACCTGGGACGTGGTGCTCATGTTCTCTCAGCCTCAGTTCCCACCTCTTTACCATGAGGGGCTTGCCTCAGAGCAGCAATTTCTTTTTCAAGATTTTACTTATTTATTTTTAGAGAAAGGAGAAAGGAAAGGAAAAGAGAGGAAGAGAAACATATGACACATGAGAGACATCAATCAGTTGCCTCTCACATGCCCCCCAGCTGGGGGCCTGGCCCCCAACCCAGGCATGTGCCTGACTGGGAATCGAACCAGCAACCTTTCAGCTCACAGGCCAGCACTCAGTCCACTGAGCCACACCAGCCAGTGTATAGAGCAGCAATTTCAAAGGAAGAAGGTACCTCAGGGCAGCCCAGGTCCCCAAGCTCAACAGGGCAGCCCCACATTTGCGCTACCTATTAGCCTCCCATGAAGATTTTGTGTAAAGAAGTTTTTGGTGGCTATAAGATTAAAATCCCAATGGCCTTCTTGCTTTTGAATGATTCTAGAAATTCATCATTCCTCCCCACCCCCCAAGCACTGTTCCAAGGGCTCTGGGGGAGGCGGAGGCTGTTCCATCAGTGGTTGGACAACACTGCCCTCTTGTTGGTATTTTGGACCCTCAATAATGCCTGCATTTTTAGGTTGTTTCCTTCTGCGATGTATTCTGGTTAGTCTTTTTCTACTCTTCCTGTGGATTTTGTTAGAATTTTCCAAAGACAGGCCATCGTATCTCTTTCTTTGGGAACGAACCCCACCAACTTCAAGCTGTTCAAGCCATTGTGGTAACTGGCACCACCCTCTAGGGCTGGCCGCTGGTATTTTTCATCCTAATCTCTTTCCTTCCCAGAAGTTCTTGCAGAGAGGTCCAATTTCAGGCCATGGCTTATGAAACTTAACTCAGTGCGTGCCGTCTACTTGACATTAGGTCACAGCTGGGACGCGTACTCCATAGGACACATACTCCATATTCCACGAGATAGGTTAGACAGGATCTGAGGCATCAAAAATCCGGCGCTCTTTTCCTGACTCTACCATCAACTAACTGTGACCTTGGGAACGTCACTGACCTTCTCTAGGCCTATGTTTACCCCTTTGCATGATGAGGAGATTGGACCGAAGGTGTCTTAGGATTTCTTTGGGCTCTAACAAAGGTTCCACGTAACATCAGCTACTTTCCCCTCCGACCGTGGCAGTTATATCGTTGAGAGAGGAAGAGGACCAGCCCTGGCCCACCCATGGATCCTTACTTTCCCCACGGTTAACACGGGGGGAGCAGGGGACCCCGTCCCATTTCACCAAGTCGGGGTGGTGGTTGAGGGGACTTGGCAAGTAATTTGTTGGCGCCTTACTGGGCGGAGGAGCCTGGAAGAGGCCGACCGACATTGTCATGCCTGCCTCTCCCCCGCCGGTTCTGGGGACGGACGTGTTGACCTTTTGGCAGTAGACGGGTCCCTTCTTGTAGAGGGCAAAGGTGACCCACTCTTCAGGTGCCATATTTCATGTTAACCTCTTCTTGCTCCAATTGAAACGCAGGGCTCAGAGCATTGGGTATTTATAGAGAGGAAGTATGCTAGGCCAGAAGAGCTCAGTCTTCCGAAAGTGGCCGCCACGCAGCAGGAAGAAAGTGAGGCGGGCCTCGCAGATATCCTTGCTGATGGCAGACTCTCCAAGGTGGACGTCCTGGTGGACAAGTTCAAAGTTGAAGTGGCCACGGAGGAGATGGTGGGAGCCAGAAGAGCAAACGCCCGGCAAAAACGAAGGATGATCGCAAGCCCTGAAGACTTTGAGTCCATGTGGGAGGAAGGCCCCTGGGTCAGGGACGGCCCAGAGGGGGCTTCTCCGGCTGCAGGCTGCACGCTGGCGGAAAAGCTCCTTGAGGGCTCCCAGCTCAGAGTGGGCACCGGGGAGGCCACCATCAGGAAGCGCCGGGTCTCGGGTCAGCTGGAGGGCCACATGGAGCGAAGGAAGGAGCTGGAGGAGTTCCAGACTGGTGAAAGACCCCCTGTCCCGGGGACCAGGCCAGCTGAGGCGGATGTCCCCTCTCCAGCCTCTGACAAGGAAGGACTTCAGTCGTTTCTGCTGGACCCAGCCCATGTGGAAGCCAGAGCTGACTCCAGTGATGAAACAGATACTTCCTTTGCAGAGAGGAGCTTCTATTTCAACTATGGAGAGGAAGATATTGAAGACCAAATCCTCCCTCCGCTGCTGGAGGAGCAGGAAGAGCACCTGGAAGCCCCTCCCAGAGGCAGGACTGGGCTGAAGCTCTTTGAGGAGTTTGCAGAGAGCTCTGAGCTGAATTCCTCAGACCAGTGGGGCTCTCCTGCAGCTTCCAGAAGGAGCAAGTATGAAGCAGATAAAGCTCACACAGCTTTCTTAGAGGAAGGGGCGAGGCCCCCCAGGGACCACGGGAAACCAGACCACCCAGAGGCCTTTGACGAGCAGCACGGTACTGGATCTTCGCCAGCGCAGATGTTCACTGAGGACTGGGAAGAAGCTGGGTGGGGGGTGGAGGGAGAGTTCACCCACCCAGCATCCACCATCGCTGCGGAGGAAGAGACCCCCAGGAGTCAAGAGTTGAAGGGAAAGGCTGAGAAAGGTCCCCCAGCAGGTTGGAAGAACCACTCGCCTCACAGAGGAGGGCACATGTGCCCAGACCTCCCGGCCTGCGCCCCTCCGTGGAAGCCAGCCAAACTGGGTGGAGGCAACTTCTTGCCCAAAGACAGGGGACCCGTTCACATCCAAACAGGAGAACCTGTGATGGAGGACAGCAAGGTTCATGTGCCATTTCTGCAGATGGAGGTGATCAGCCCCCTCCCAACCTCTCCTGGTCCCTTTCAAGCACAGGCACCTCCTGAGGAAGCTTCTCCGAGCCCAGCCCCACCTAGGTCAGGGGAGCCTTTGCAATTTGGGGATCCCTTTGGAGAACAGTCCCCTGAGTTTCTAAAAGAAAGTCCAGAGCCCAAGCACCACGTAGAGCCTGTGGCGCCTCTGCACAGAGGAGAGCGCAAGGCACCTCCCGTTGCCAGCAGAAAGCCCAGAGTTGTCCTTGAGGAAGTTGAGAGGGCTGCACCCCTGGGGTTGGGGCTCCCTTCAGGGAAGCCAAAGATGACTCCTTTCCAGGCTGGGGGCCAAGAGGGCTCCCTGGAAGATATTAGCAAGACCTCAGTGGCCAACAAAATTTGGATCTTTGAAACTCATGGAGCGGAAAGCCGTCGAGTGAGTCAGGGTGAAACGTGGGCCCTTCCACGTGAGCTGCCTTCGGAGGCCTCCCTGGGGCAGGTAGAGCAGCAGCGGAATAAGCTTTTAGACCTGGGCTTCGTCCAGCTCCAGCCCCCCGGGGGACCTCACCGGCCCCAATACCACGCATTCTTCCTCAATGATGTCACCTGCTACCAGGCACTTCAGAGAGAGTGTTTCTACCACATCCCACCAGGAAGGATGCATGGAACTCGAGCTCATGTCCCCCGATTCGGGCTGCGAAACTACGCTGGAGGAAACTACAGGGGGAGCTGGCCACGTGAGCCCCTGCCCCCACCACTGCCCCGAGCCGGGGGGAGCACCGCATGCTGCGTAGCTTTCTAGAAGCATGTTTCAGTGGCTCCTCGTCATTAGTGCAATCAGAGGCTGCTTGTCCATCCCTGTGAGTTCTTTTCCCTAAATGGGCCCGAATGTAGCGTGAGCAGAACGCAGGGTCATCTGCTTAGCCCGTGTGAGCTTAGCCACAAAAATCCTCAAGGGCCACGCAGACCCAGCAGAGGAGGTGGTACAACCGCCAGCAAACTACACTCTTGCTTTGCCTTGCTGCCCCCACCTGCTGGGTTCCTACCTGTTTGCTTGGCTTGTCCAGCAACCTTCCTTCATTCCTTTCCCTCCCCTGGTTCTCCTGCCTTGGGGAAGCGGACAGTCCAGAGGTTTCCGTCCTTCACTGGTGGTTGCCCCTCGGTCCCAGTGCCAAGTGCCTTTCTGCCTCCTTAAGACTAACTATCCTCTCTAATCCAGAACAAATCCGGAGACACCGTCAGGGAAGAGAAGCTCCTCACCACTTTAGCAGCAACCCCCCCCAGGAAAGGGGGGCACCTGAGACTCACCAGCCCCTCAGGCCCTCAGGTCTCTGCAGCCCCTGGGTGCCCTGATGACCCACCCAGTCACCCTCACCTGGCCAGGGTGCATCGCTGCCTTAGATTCCCACCTGCTCTGGCAGTGCTTCCTGCGTCAGCCCAACTCTGGCTTGTCTGAACGTGTCCTCACACCTCTCAACCTCCCTGAAACGGGCCAAACGGACGCTTGTTAAGCAAGTGAATCTCTAAGTGCACTGAGTCTAGAACCCGAAGCCAAGCGCTTTAAAAATATTTGGCGGGTGTTCGATTGGTCTTAAAAAGGAGTGTCGTGAAGCAGCCCCCAATGCGTGTGTGGTGTTTAATCCCTGACAGTCCAGTTGAGAGGTATGTATGTCAGACAAGACTTGCTGGTTCCCTTCCAGCGTTTCCTTGGCCTGCTGTTGTCAATTGCACTGATGGGACCAGAACCTCCACTCCTCGGCCTGCCCGCCGGCCCCCTCACAGAGCTCAGGGTGGAACTGATGTAGCACCCGGCTCCCAGGAGTTACCCTGTATTACTCCTCCCTCAAGATGATGCTGATCCCTCCCATGGAGACTCAGTGGAATTGACAAACTGTGCTGGCTTCCTCTTTGTTCCCGAAAGCTCTTGGCTCTAGCCTCTTGCCTCCCCCGCCTGGGTTTCCTGGTCCCTGGGTCTCCCACCTGGGTTTTCGTCTCTCGGCGCCAGCCTGCGCGGATGAGCCTGGGACCTGGGCTCCCATCCCTGCCTTGTGTACAGTGCCGCTTCCGACAAGCTCCCAGATCCACACGCTGGATGGAGCCTCCTGTCCAGGAACCAGCTGGCAGGACGGATGCTTTGTACTTGCTTTGCCACCATCAGGAGACCCTCGGAAAGCAGCGACCCCACTCCTGAGGTGTTTTCGGGGTTTTGTTTTTGTTTTAAACTTATTATGACATCAAGGAACCTCTCCTGGGGTGTTTTTTGTTTCCTGACCTGCTCTTCCATTTGGGACATCGACATGGCCCCAAGACTTCTTCTGTCATTCACCATCTTTCTCTTTTTGTCTCTCTCTCCTTCTCACTCCACACCCCCATTCCTTTGATTTTATCTGGCCGTAGAGAGCAGGGCTGAGGGAGGGCTCGGAGGAGAAGGTCAAACCGCCTCGCCCCAGGGCCCCAGAGAGTGACACGGGAGACGAGGACCAGGACCAGGAGAGGGACGCAGTGTTCCTGAAGGACAACCACCTGGCCATTGAGCGGAAGTGCTCCAGCATCACGGTCAGCTCCACGTCCAGCCTGGAGGCTGAGGTCGACTTCACGGTCATCGGCGACTACCACGGCAGCGCCTTCGAAGACTTCTCCCGCAGTCTGCCCGAGCTCGACCGAGACAAGAGTGACTCAGAAACGGAGGGCCTGGTGTTCTCCCGGGATCTCAGCAAGAGGGGCCCCAGCCAGGACGACGACTCCGGGGGCATGGAGGACAGCCCCGACCGAGGGGCCTGCTCCACCCCGGACATGCCCCAGTTTGAGGTACAGTGGAGCGCCACGGAGACCGGGCCCGGCAGGCACTGCATGTTCAGAGGGCCCTGGGCCGCCCGAGAGAAGACCGAGCCGCCAGCCTGCAGCCCAGATCCCTCAGCCTGAAGCTGTGTCTCGTGTTGCATGACTGCCCCTCCGCAGAACAGCATGGTTCTGTGCTCGCATGTTTGCCATCTCGGTTTGCCCCTAACACACACTCCTTGGCGTTTTAACTCTATGTCCCCACCGTTTGCCTGAGGTCCAGCCGAGAGCGGCAGTCCGGTCCTCCTCGACGCCGCCTCTCCCTGCCCGCGTTGCATGGCACTGCAGAGAGCATGTGCTTGTGGACGACTCGCAGGCGCCCACGCGGCTGGGTCTGGAACTCGGATGGTTTCTCCTGGTCCTGGCCGACTCCTCTCCCTGGGGCCTGGGCTTCCTGGGGAAGGGGCGGCAGTGTCAGTCCATCTGGCCCCGGGGCGGCAGTGGAAACTCCTAGAGAAGAGGAAACGTCATCACTTGGGGGCACACCGGGGTAAACTGTGTCTGGGCCTCTCTGCTTTGTGCCCTTCCCACAGGGGATCTTTGTTCATGTTATCCCTTCGCTCCCTCATCGCTTCCAGCCCCAGCCTGCCTCCCACCACAGTCCCCTCTCCCCTCTTCCAGGCATCGAAACAAGAGCTCATTCACTCGTGCTGCTCCCTCTGCGTAGAAGGTTTTTCCTCCCTTTCTTTGCCTTGCAAATGTGTCATATTCCAGGTCAGAGTTCAGACGTCACTTCCCTAGCAAATGCGTTCTGGACCCCCTTGACCAGAAGTATTGTCCCCACCACCGTCCTCTTGCTCAGGAGTGCTTCTGCTCCCCATGGTGTCCCAAGTGGGTTAGTGGCTGACGGGTCTGCTCTCCCACCAGGCGGCAGCTCCTGGAAGCTGGCACATGGTGGCCACTGATAGGCGATTGGCTGAATGAACGGCTAGATCTCTGGGTTGGGACCATCTCTGAGAATCCCTTCACTGCCCTCGCAGCCCAATGATGAGCTAGCTTTCATTCATTCTTTCATTCAGCTCACATGTTAATACCTGCCGTGTGGATAGCCATGAGCTAGCCTGATGGAGGACTGAGAAGAAAGTGATCGTTTGACTTACGACTTCTAGAGCAGAGGGTGTAAACTGACGGCTCGGGGTAGATCTGGCTAGCAAATGTGCTGTCTTTGACCTTGATCTAAAAATTAGGACATTGAATAAAAAATCTAGTAATTTTTTATATCATTAAAAAGTGGCATAAAAATTTTTACATCATTAAAAAAATCAGATGATTCAGTCACTCAGAAGCCATGGCCACAGTCAGCCAGGCCTGAGTGGCAGGCACCCCATGTGCTTTCCGGTTCACCCCAGGCCTCAGTGAGCTCACTTGACTTGTTTATGCCTGGCCCCCATGGGTCTCCAGGTGTGTGGCTTCTGCTCCAAAGAACAATTCTAATGAAGTGGTAGCATGACCACTGAAGTCATTCAAGACTCAGTGACATTATGTATATGAGGAAAATACTTAGCATGGGGTCTGGCCCAAAGTATACTAATTGAATCGTAGATATTCTCTTTTTTTTAATTTTTAAAATTGATTTTAGAGAGAGCGAGGAACATTGATTCATTGTTCCACTTGTTTATGCATTCATTGGTTGCTTCTAGTATGTGCCTTCACCAGGGATCGAACCTGCAACGTTAGTGTATCAGGATGATGCTCTGACCAAGTGAGCTACCTGGCCAGAGCCAGTAGATACCCTGTAGATGGTAACCTGGGAAATAGCATATAGCCCCCATGAGGTTGCAAGGTCCATGGCAGGCCTATCTGGGTACTGCTGGTGGTTCTGGCTGTCCTCTTGGGATGTTTGTCTGTAACATCACACAATGCCTCTTTTGCCTTGACCTGTGTACCTTTCCAGAGTCTTGGCCAGCTGCAGGGGTGGGAGGGAAACTGCTAACCCCACACCACAGCTGCCCATGAACAGGAGTTGTGCCAGGCATTTGAGTTACGGAGTGTCCTTCCTCATCTCCCTACAGCCTGTGAAAGCGGAAACTGTGACTGTCAGCAGCCTAGCCATCAGGAAGAAGATTGAGCCAGAGGCTGTGCTGCAAACCAGAGTCACTGCTGGGGACACCCAGGTAGGCCGGGCCTTTCAGCTTGCCCTGAGCTCAGGTGTGAGGCGTTTGGGTGGGGGATCCCCACCATGAACAAGCCCCCCAGCCAACCCTTGCCACCTTGGCTCCCCCAGAGCCCTCATCTTAACCCCGATGCTCTTGAAAGTGTAGTTGTCCTTTCTGAGCTCTGGGAGTGGGTTCCTGTCCTGGGCAGACTGCGTGCACTCTTTGTGCCTCCACTTCCCCAACTTTAAACCGGGATGGTCATGTCTCACCTGTCCCCCTGGGAGTGTGGTAAGGACCAGTGGCTAGTGGATTAGGACTGTGGCTTTCAGAATGCCTGAAGGAGTTGGAGAATTTCTTGATGTACCTCAGGGGCTGCTTGGGAAGAAAAGACGTGAGATCCCGAGCCAGCTGCAGTCACAATGGCTCACGTTGAGTCATTTTATTTTTTGTGCATGGGAGTTCCACTTCAGATTGGCAAAATGAACAAACTGGGGAAAAAGAGACCCCAAATCATTTGTCTTAGTGAGATGAAGCATGCTGAGGACCTGGGAGAAGACCGTCATGAATTGATACAGGTGGTTCCTAAGTTCCTTTTGTGGTTTTTAAACTTTGAAAATTGAGGTTGTGGGTCTCGGTCCTCTCTGGTTGGAGGAGCTGCTGTGCTGGGGGCTTCTCGCCCTGCAGACTAGTCTTTGCCCCAAGAACTAAAGTGAGGTGCAAACCGACACAACGTGGGCGACTCTGTCACTTCTGGAATTTTGCCTCCCTCTCTCTAACACGCATAGGGGTTTCTGGGGCAGCTGGTGCCGCGGTCCTGACTCTTGAGTTCTGATGAGCCGCGTGACCTCAGGCAGCGTGTTCCACCCCTGGCCTATTTTAGTAACGTGTTTTAGTAACGTGCTTTATTTTCAGACAGAGAAATATAGAGGAAATTAAAAATGGCCCCAAATCCCACAACTCAGTAATCCTTACTGACATTGAAACAACAGTGAAATGCTCATCGTTATGAAATTCAAACAGAATCAAATGAGATTTTTTGGTGATTCCTCCCAGGAAAATATGTATGCATATACCTTCATGTATACTTCCATGTCAAGATATTATACAATTTTTTACAGAAAAGAGATTGTTCTCTTTTACGCTGATCTTTTAAGTGATTTCCTTATGAGCGGACCCTTGCTGGTGTACGTGGATCCACCTTGTGCCTCTCAGTCCCACTCAGGAGCGGCCCCGACTTTTCACGGTCTCCCGTCGATGGGCCCGTGCTCGTTTTCCTTTTGTGGTTAATGTTGAGCACCGCAGTGAACTTCCTTGTCTGGACTTCTTGGCAGAGTTTCCGCAGTTTCTTTCCAAAGGGTGAATTCCTAGCAATGGGATCAGCAGGTCAAAGACCTCATGCATTGAAATTTGGGTAGAATTGGTCAAATTGCTTGGGATTATTTTTCCTTTGTCCATCAAATAAGATGACTGAAGTAAACCGGCAGACCTGGGAGTCCCATCTGTACCTCAGCCTGTGTGTGGACAGCCCGTGCCCCTGTGCCCCGTCCACTCACACAGCCTGTCACCTGATAACTGGGACTGCCACCAGCCCTGGTGACAGATGCTGCAGGAGTATCTGGCGTTCCCTCTCTGTGTGTGCCTCTCTGATGACCCCTTCCTCTGACTGCAGGTTGATGGGACTGCCCCAGGGGGGAAGGAGTTCCTAACAACTACCCCCTCCATCACCACGGAGACCATATCGACCACCATGGTAAGTAGGACCCAGGAGACTTTTCTCTCTGACCAGCCTCTGCCCCAGAAACAGCCAGATAACAAGACAGCAATACCGACTGCTTCAGGAAGTCCTTACCTGCCCTCCCTGCGTCTGGCCTGAGACAGACGGCCAAGCTGTCTGGCACCATAAGTTGCCACAGGACATCTGGTCAGACCTCCGCTTTCTGGACTGAGTAGTGTGGGAGGTGGAATCCCTGGGTGTCAGGTATCCAGACCGTCTGGGCCACAGCAGGGGTGAAAGGAGGGTGGTACTGTTCGATTATTGGCCGTGCCCGGGGACTGTGCCTGAAAGTCTTTCCCCAGGGCCTTCCTCTTGGCCGCTGCACATTTGCTTACATCTCTGGCCACTTCCTTGACTTGGTCAGTAGGTGGCGTGCAGTGAACCTAAATTGGCAGCTCAGGATTTCCGATCATCCCCTGAGGGAGCCTATGGCTCTGCTACCTCTTTGCTGCCTGACCCAGGAAGGGAGGTCCTTGGCCTCAGTCGACCTCATCTGTAAAGTGGGGATAATCCCCATCCTGCCTGGCTCAGAGGTTCTTGAGAGAGTCTAGTAACATCAAGCACTTTAATGACAGCACAGAACAAATAGCGTTCAGCACGCAGGTTGTGGTGCCAGCCAGTCATCTCACTGGTCTTCACAAAAACGGTGAGGTGGATGCCATTTTGTTCTTCACGTTTTCCAGATGAGGAGATTGTAGATCAGAGAGGTAAAGTGACTCACCCAAGGTCACACAGCCAGTAAGTGGTAGAGCCAGGTCAGACCCAGGCCTTCTGACTCCAGAAGCCCTGCCGTCCGCCTCGACCACTCTGCTCCATTCCCTCATCCGGACCGTTGGGAGCACTGGCCACATGTGGCTGGCCTGGGGCTGGGCTGGGCTGGGCTGGGCTGCGGCTGCGCAGGTTTCATTGCCTAGGCCAGATCTGTCTTGAGCTGTTGGGAACTTGTTTTTAGATGGTTTCTCTTGCCAAACCCTGATAAATGCATAGGAAGAGAATTACATTAATTTAGACAACCCTGCAGTAGATTTTTGAGTAAACAAAGATTTTAAGGTAAATAAACCCAAACCAGTTGGTTACCAGCTCGCACGCATTTCTCTGGTCACTCGGCTCCTCCTTTCCCCTCGGCCCTTCACCGCGTGGCGTCAGGGTGCTCACGGGGCCGATTTTGAACTCACGCTATGGCAGCAGGCAGCGGCATCATTCATGTACTCATCCATCCATTCATTCTCCATGTGTTCCAAGCACACTGATTCGCCTCTATATCTATCCAGTGTGGGGATACAGAGTTGAAGAAAACGTATGCCTGCCAGAATTCATTTGCCAAATAACAACCCTGGGTGCACTGAGCGTGCTGTGCCCCTGTGTTTAGGGGCTAGGCACGCCGTGGTGAACAAGGCCCGGCTTTCCCACTTTCTGGCTGGATGACCTTGGGCAGGTTACCTGAACCTCTGCAAACCTCAGTTTCCACTTCTGTAAAGTAGGGTGAGGAGTAACAGTAGCACGTCCCTCATAGGGTCGATGTGCGGATGAGCTGAGGTTGATCTGCGCACACCCCTCAGAGGAGCGCCTGGCAGCACAGTCAGTGGTCTGTAATGTGAGCAGCTGCTTTTTTTCCTGCTTTCTTGGGACAGTGGCATAAGGCTTTCCTAGGGAGCACAGGGAGAAGGGGTGTGGGTGACACCATAGGAGCCGGGGAAGGCTTCACCTAGGCAGTGACATCTGAGCTATGCTTGAAGGATACGTTAAGGTCCAGTGGTGGGAGAAGGCATTCCAGGCAGTGGGAATAGCAGGTGCAAAGGCAAGGATGTGGAGGAACCTAGCAGTGAGGTGAGGTGTCACGTGTGGCGGGGGAGTCAGGGAAGAAGAGGTTGGAAAGGAAGTCTAGGCTGGGGCTTGAAGGGCCTCGAACGTCACGTGCAAAGTTCAAGCTTCATCCTGGACACAATGGAGAGTCACTTGGACTTTTTAATTAGGGGCATGATGTCATCAAAATAAGTGTTTCTGTGTTTTAGAAAGATTACTCTTGCAACCTGTATGGAACATGACTGGAGTCAAAATTCCTTCCCTTGGGGCATGGGTTCCTTTTGTTTTCCCCCTTCCCCCTTCCTCCCTCCCTCCTTCCTCCCCTCAGCAAATATTTACTGAACGCACACGCTGTGTGAAGTGCCAGGCCAGGCACCGTGCATCCGGCACTGAAGGAGAGTGTCCCTGAGCCCACATGCCACTAAGAGAGGCCAAACAAGAAGGCAGAGAACTAGTTCGGGGGTGGGCGCAGGGCCAGAGTGTGAGGGGGTGGGTGCCGAGGAAAGGGACAGGGTTTGGGGACACCCGAGGAGGGAAGTACAGGATCTGGTCATTGACGGAACATGCCGGTGGCAGGAGGAAAGATGGGCTGGCGATGCTGCTCACTAGCCGAGCTGTTCTCAAAGTGTGGTCCTGGGGACCTGTGAGAAAGGCCCCCTCTGGGGTGCCCCCTGGGCTGACGGAGTCAGAAACTGGGGTGGGGCCCAGCCAGCTGTGCCTTCACAGCTCTCTCGGTGACACCCTCCGAGTCCGAAGGGGACAGATGAAAACAGAGCCCTGGAGGGAGTGCGTGGGTCGGGGGGAGGGGGAGGCAGCGAACTCTGTTTTGGATCTGATGAGTTCCCTGGGGCAAGTGGGACATTTCCAAGGGAAAATGCCTAGGACGCAATTGGTTTTAAAGGTCTAGGGTTCACAAAAGATCTGGGCTGCAGGTAAAGGACTAGGGGACAGTGGCCTTGATGAGGAAGCCTTGAGTGGCTGAGGTGGTCCGGAGACAGGACAGACAGTGAGGGGGAGAGCCCTGAGTACATGGGAGGAAGGGTCCAGGGCAGAGATGGTGATGCCCTGGTGGGGACAGGAGCTGCTCCTCCTTGAGGCAGAAGAGAGGACAGACTGAGACGCACCAGATATTATCCTAAGGAGGCATTATCTCATTTAATAGAGAGGCAGGTGCAGCAGGTTGTTTTAAATGACCTCTGTCCCCATTTGTGGCCTCTGTCAAGGTCAGGGTGAGGCTTTGCCCAGGAAGGAGGAAGCAGCAGCAGAAGAGGCTTGGGGAGAAAGGCCTGAAGTGACAGAGTAGGACTCGAAGTGGCTAATGGCTGTTTCCCAAACAAGAAAGGAAGCATTGAACCCAGAAGGCTGTCCTTCTGAGGCCTGCTGCTCATGACACATTTTGGGACTCTATCCGAGGAAGTTGCTTTTGGATAGAATGCCAGGTGACCAGGCAGGGCCACGGCAAAGAGAGGGCTTCTGTCCTCACGTAGCCCACGGCAGGCGGAGGTCCAGGTCCATCCCGTGCACAGACCAGGACCAGGCTCAGGCCTCTGGGCAGCTGCAGAATGGACACAGCTCTGGGCCTCTGGACAGACAAGGCTGAACCCTGAGATGGTGCAGAAGGTGCGGGGGGAGAAGCAGGCAGCCAGGCCTCTTGCCAGATGTGGGCCAGTAAACCCAAGGCCAATTCCAGGAATACCTAGCAGTCAGACCGAGTGTAGGGCCAGGAGAGCTGGCTCAAGGGCAGGCATTCTGAGGGCAGAGTGGTGGTGCGGGAGGAGCGTGTCGGACCTGGAGTCTGGCGAGCATGGACCCGGTTCCTGGCTCTATCACTAACTTGCTGGGGGGCTTGAACACGCCACTTAACACTCTCTGGCCCTCCACTTCCTCAGCTGTAAGACAGGAATATTAAAATGATCTGTCCTGAGGATTAAATGAGATAATGCCTCCTTAGGATAATACCTGGTATGTAGCAAGAACTCAGGAGACGATCATTATTGTGATGTTATTCATAGCTATTTACCCTGTAGATTTCCATTTGCAAGGCCCCTTTTCCATTGTAGCTTCAACACCTGGGGGGGAGTGGGGCAGGGGTTCCAGTTTTGTTTTTAATTTTAAGACTTTATTTCTTAGAGCAGTTTTAGATTCACAGCAAAATGGGAGGAAGGTACAGAGATTTTACATATGCCCACTGCCCCCCCCACGCAAAGTCTCCCCTATGACCAACACCCCCCCAGAAGGGGATGGCTGTTGCCCTTGATGAACCTACGCTTCAGGGGGTCCCTCTTCGCAGGTGCATTCACGAGCCCATAGAGCAGAAGTGGCTCTGCCCCAGGCCGCGTGGCTGGAAGGTGGCAGGGCCGGGACGAGAACCTGAGTGTCTCAACTCCTGCATTAGTGTCTCTAGAGAGCAGTACCATGTCATGTTCACCGCTGTATCCCTCGTGCCAGGCACCCCGGCCATGTCCGCTGAGTGAATGATGTCTAAGTGTGTGAACGGGTGAGTGAGTGAGTGACGAGTGAGAAGCAACTGAACTGAGTGAGGCCTTGAGCTCCCTGCTTCTAATGTCACTATTGTACCTGCGGCCATGGGAGTGACATGGCCACGTGCTCCGGCCACCCTGGGGCCCGCCCACCTGAGGCTTGGCCATCTGAGCACTATTGTTTCCCCAGGAGAACAGTCTCAAGTCCGGGAAGGGGGCAGCTGCCATGATCCCAGGCCCACAGACGGTGGCCACGGAAATCCGTTCTCTTTCTCCGGTAAGTGGGCAGGGCCAGCTCAGGCTAGGGGACTCCACACTGAGAGCACGGACCCGGGTCCACAGCTGGCCCGCGGCACGTGCCGCGTAGAGCCCAGAAGGCTGCCCTTTTCAGGGCAGCACCAGGGAGCTGCAGCATTTTCAGAGGCCCACGGGGCTCCCTGATGCCCACCAGAGTCTTATCCATTGCCCTCCATTCCTCCCCTACACACCCCCAAGGAGGGCGTTGGCAGTGCGGGGGTGAGGGGGCTCTGCCCTTTGGTGGTGCCTGTGCTGTGACATAGCTCTTTTGCATCTGCTCTCCTTACTGACCTGGAGGAGCAATGAGCCAGGGGTCCAGAGGCTTGGATCCTGGACTTGGCCTTGTCGGCGGCTGCCCTGTGAGCCCAAGTCTGTCCCTGTGAGGTCTCTTGCAACTCCTGTAGAATCCCAACCTGCCGTTCTCATCATCTAGCCCCACAGAGAACAGGGCGGGGGATTGAGAGGGAGCTCTGTTTCCACCCTGGATCCCTCTGTCCTTTCTTCTAAGCTGCCAGGATTCTTCAATTCCAGGGTCCTGTTAGAATTCTGGGCCTTACGAATCTCAGGTTCTAGGAATCTTAGATTCCAGGCTTTGAGAATCTTATGGGCCTAGCTTTCTGAAGATTCCAATTTCCCTGAATTCTTAGATTCAGTGATTCATAGCATCTTGGCTTCCAAACTCCACCTTCATGGGACCCACCCTACTTGGGTTTACCCACCCCCGCCCCCACCCTGCAGAGTCCAGCACCCTCATCTGACCCCAGGGTGGGGGGTGGTTATATTCTGCAGATCATCGGGAAAGATGTCCTCACCAGCACCTACGGCGCCACTGCGGAAACCCTCTCCACCTCCACCACCACCCATGTTACCAAAGTGAGTAGCAGCAGGGTGCCCTATGCCCCCAGCCTGGCTCCAGGGCTCGGGAAGGTCACTGCCATTGCTCAGCCTTGGGAACACCTGGGGCGTTCCCAGGTTCTGGAGTGCGGTGTGCTTTGTTCTGAGTTACGGTTTGCCCTGGGTATGGCCCTGCTCCTCCACATGGACCGCCAGGCTGAGGGGACGAGCCCATCTCCTTGGAAGTAGTTGTGAGCCATAGCATTTGCAGCTTACAGACCTTAAGTGCTGGAGGGATTTAGAGGCAGGCAACAGAGGAAGGCTCAAAGAGTGAGGAAGGATCTTCTGGAAAACATGAGGTTTGTGCAGGGTCTTGGAAAGCCAGGTAGGACTTGTGAGGGAGAAGAAGGCAGAGGCAGAAACTGTGTGTTTGCTTATTCGTCCATTAAGCAGATTTTACTCTGTGTGAGGGGCTGTTAGAGGCTGTGAGCATTGCATGTTGGGAAACAGGAGTAGTGGACTCTACCAGCAAGAAGCAGCATGGCGGGACGTAACCATGGGAAACTGGGGCGGACCGAGGCCAGGAGGAGCAGCCTAGAGACAAGTTGGACAAATCCCAGGACAGATGTGCCAATGGAGGGCCTGAGTCTGTGAACCGCTGGAAAACCGTCAGTTTCTTAACTGAGGAGTAAGCCAGTGAGAAGGAGTTTAAGGAGAGGATGTTAGATCCACCGGGGTGTGCAGGTAGATGGGAGAGAGCAGAGAGTGAGTTCTGGTGAGACTAGGGGTGGAGAGCCCGGACCAGGGTGGGAGTCAGAGTGGGGGAAGGAGGAGGAAGAGCCAAGAAGACAGGCATTCCTGATGCGTCGTCGGCTGTGACTCAGCCAGTGAAGATTGGTGGGGGGGTGGGGGGGAGCTGAGAGCAGGCTGGCAAGGCAGAAGGAAGGCAGGAGGGGGCCAAGGCCCGGGGTGGGGGGCCTGAAGGAGAGATGCCAGGGAGCCGGGTTGAGTTGCAGGTTCTGCTGAGCCATCCAAAGAAGTCTGGTGGGTGCACCGGCCCTTCACACTGTCCCAGCCCTGCTCCCTCCTGTGTAGGACTCAGCACCTCTGCACAGTCCCCAGAAAACACCCACTCTCACCAGAAGCATTAGTGAGCAGTATTGACTTCACCGAGAGCTTGACAGGAAGGTGTTCCATCACACACCCCACTGAATGCAGCTCAGAAAACTCTTTTACCCAAAGTCCCCCCGCCCTTGCCAACTGGGAGCCCCCTTTTCTTTCTGTCCACTCCTGGCGCCAGCTGGACTTCCCTCAGCCACTGCCCTCCTTGACTCTGCCAGGCAACGAGGTCCTTCCCCATTTCTACTCCTGAACTTATACCCAAACCTGCCCTTTCAGGAACAGTGGTGGTTACCAGTGTCATCAGCAAAATTTCTCTTGTACTGTTGTTTAAAGTCATTTAAGATAGAACCTTGTCACCATTCACATTTCATTCATGTGTCCATTCAACAAATCTGCATTTAGCACCTGCCCTGGTCAGGCTGGACAGGGGAGGCGGGGATGAGGGGATACAGTGAGGCACAAAGACAGCCCCTGTCCCCAAGGGCCTGAGGCTAGTGAGCAAGGCCAGGTCCCACACTTAAGGTCGGCAAAGGGCAGAGGGGCCCAGAACCATGAGGGAGATGCATCTGGCTCTCAGGGAGGACCAGAGCAGGAAGGTGGGAGGATCGCCATCCAGGGTCAGGGACAGCATATTTGATCTGGGCCCGAAGACCTAGAAGGGGGGACAGTTTCGTGGTTGACAGAGTGGTGACCGCCAGGCAAGCTCTGCACTCTGAAGTCCCAAAGCCAGAAGAGGAAAAATTGGAGGGATCTAGGAAAGAAGGTGACAGCCAGTTCCATTCGTGCCCTCGAGGGATACTTTGGATAGGTCCCCTGTCACCACTGCTGGTCCAGCAGGACCCAAGGCTGACCTTGCCCCCTCTCCCCCCGCAGACTGTGAAAGGAGGGTTTTCCGAGACGAGGATTGAGAAGCGAATCATTATCACTGGGGACGAAGATGTTGATCAAGACCAGGTATGGGAATAAGGGACGCCATATTGGTTGCCGGTGGCCTGAGAAGGTGTTCACTTCCCTCCCGCCGATCCTGTCCCCACAGGGGACCCCCCAAGGAAGAGGCACTGAGTGGGAACCAAAGGAGCCAGGAGACCCAAGCTCTAGTCTCTTCCTTTAACTCTTTGACCGCTGCCCCTCCCTGGGCCTCCGTTTCCTGGCTGTGCCCTAAGCAGCTTGTTGGTCTGCATGATCTCTCCCTCGAATCTGATGTTCTGTGTTTCCTCACATTGCTGTTCTTTTCCACCAGGCCCTGGCTTTGGCCATCAAGGAGGCCAAACTTCAGCATCCTGACATGCTGGTAACCAAAGCTGTCGTATACAGAGAAACAGACCCATCTCCGGAGGAGAGGGACAAGAAGCCACAGGTAAGGCTCACGAGGCTCAGCAGCCGTGAGAGGGGGGAAGGAACCGGGGCAAGGTCCTCTGAGGGCCGTTTCCGTCTGAGACCCCATCCTGTGGCTTGGGCCCTGGCACGGTTTGCCCACCCATCATCACCAGGCACAACGAATCAGAGTGGGAAGGAAGCCTGGTCCCATGGTTCTTTGGGGCTTCAGGCCCTAGACCTAGACTCAGAAGCGGTAAGAAAAGGGGAGACAGGATCGTCAGTGGACACTGAGGCAGGACAGAGGGAGGCAGGCAGAACCTCCCTGGCCAGTGTCTGTGAGCTGGGAGTCAGAAGAAGTCCTACCAGGCCCAGTGCCACATTGCCGTCCCAGAGTCTCTGTCTCTGCCACGGTCAGCGGATGTTGCTAAGGGAAGGGCCAGAGCCCTTGAGCCCATGGGCCCTTGAGCCCATGTGGCAGGCCTTCAACTTCTCGGGCACCTGGGGCCAGAATCTCAGGAGCCGCGATAGTTTTCTGTTTCCTCTGGGCCGTCAACACCTTGAGGGGAAAGAGGAACGAGGTGGCGCTGCAGCAGGGAGCGCCTTCGTTAGCTGCTCTGGAAGTTAACTGGAGTCCGTCAGAGCTGCAAACAAAGTCTGACAGACGCTGAGTCGCGTGAAGTAGGTCGGACACAAGAGGTGTGCGTGTTGGGGTCCATCCACAGGAAGCGCAAAAATGGGCAAAGCTAATCGATGATGATAAAGGTCAGCATCGCGGCGACTTCCGGGAGGCGGCACTGACAGTGCGGACCGCAGGGGAAGCTTCCGCGGCCGGAGCGGTCAGCACCGGACCTGAGCACGCTCCCTGGGCTCACACACACAGGGGTGGGCAAAAGCAGGTTGCGGTCGTGATGCGAATAAATAACGCAGGGCTTAATCCATGAATAACACAAAAATAGACTCCTTTGCGTACTCACGGCTGCAACCCTCCTTTTGCCCGCCCCTGTGCGTAACAGCCCGTCAAGCGCGACACTGAGATTTCTGCACTTGACACAGGCCAGATGGGACACCACAGAGAAAACACAGCCACTTCAAAACCCCTCCCAAACAGCAGGTCTCCTTTTGCCCTCTTCCCTGATGAATAAAACCAAGGCCTTCTAGAAAGATCCAAGAATGTTTCTCTCTTCCCTTAATTACCACCCCCTTTGTGTTGGAAGCAAAAGCGTGGAAGCATTTTCCTGCCACGTTGAAAGCCCGCCCACCCCCTGGTCTGGGCCGTGCTGTTTGCCAGAACTTTCCGCAGTGAGGGGAGCGGTCAGTCGGTGCTGGGCGGTGTGGGAGCCACACGCGCTCCTGAGCACGTGAAACCGGCCACTCCGAGATGAGGGTGAAACACCTGCAGGATCTTGAAGGTTTAATATAGAAAAATAATGTGAAATATGTCAATCATTTTTATATTGATTACCTGTTGAAATGATAATGTTTGGATATGTTAGGTTTAGTGAAAGGTATTATTAAAATTAATTTTACCTGTTTTACTGCTTTTTCATAAAAATTTAGAATTTTAATTTAGAAAATAAAATTTTCCATTTATCTAGAGAATTTTAGAAAACTGGGAAATTTAAAAAATGCATTGAGAAAAGTCTGTCATCTAGAAAATTTGAAATTTTGCCTGTGGCTCGTGTTCTATTCTGTCGGACAGCGCTGGTCTAGAAGTGTGTGCTGGTCGTGGGCGGAGCCTCCCTTCCAGCTTTCCTCAGACTTTATGCAAGTGACTGTCACTTCTGTCTCCTCAGTTGTCCCCCAGATCTCAGAGCGGTAGAGCATAGGTCACTAGCCGGGCTGGTGCTGAGCTGGCGGTTCCCCCTGGGGAAAACGCGTACTAGACTACTAAGGCCCTAAACTCGGACTTAGAAGCACTGGGACAGGACCTGGGAATCTTCGCACGTTCACCCTGGCCCTGAGGAAGTCCACGGGCAGCCGGGTGTAGGAGCCACTGAGGCGAAGAACCCTGTGCCGAGATTCCGGGACCAGCTGCCATCCCAGCCATCCCTCGCTGACTGGGTGTGCGACCACCAGTCAGCTTCTTCCCTCCGGAGACTGTTTCCTCATCTGCAACAGCAAGAGATGGGGCACGCCCCTCCCAGGGACAGCCCTCGAGCTGTTTTCGTGCTGACCTACAGCGTCTGCCCCATTCGTCTCACTCCTCATCTTGCCTGGGTTGCCTCCAGCCTGCCCGCCAGGCTCCCGCCTTCCCGTTTGCCTGGCCATCCAGAGCGCTGGTCCCGGCTCCACGCCCTGCCCACCCGCCACCATGCAGCTCTCACATCTGCCCGCCTCGCCGCTGCCTTGGCTTTCTCACCCCCTCCTCTCCCGCCTCAGTGCTTTCTTTGATGCTGTTGTCCCACACAGCATCTAAAATAAAATTTAGAAGATTTTATTTTCTAAATTAAAATTCTAAATTCTTATGAAAAAGCAGTAAAAAGAAACAATGGAAAATTTTATTTTCTAAATTAAAATTCTAAATTTTTATGAAAAAGCAGTAAAAACACCCTCTCTCGTTTTCGGGTCCTTCTGTAAAGGTTGCCTCGTTTGCGTTGCCCTGGGGAACTAGAAGTTTCTTCCTTTCCATTTCCGCCCACAGGCTTTGCCATTCATTATCACCACGTGAGCAGCCACCTCTGACTCTCAACATGGCCACACTCACTAACCCTGCGGGAGATGTCTGCTGCGAATTAGACAACTTTATTTAAAGTGCTTGGAAACAATGATTGAGTCAATGGATGCACCTTGGTACCCCGAGGGAGAGCCCTGGAGTACTGAGGACCTGGGTTCAACTCTCAATTCTACCCATCATTAGCTGTGTGGCTCTGAGCAAGCTATTTAACCTTTGTGGCCACATTTCCTCACAGCCAGGCGGCAATGACGATCACAGTAGTGACGATCGTGACAGCTTATGGAGCGCTCACGCTGTAGCAGGCACAGACTGTGCAGCGACTTGAGTACTGTCATCTGGTCATTCATTTTACACATGCGGACCCAGGGACATGAGGTGGCTTGCTCACAGTCATGGATCTGGGAGAACGTGATGGATTGATTAGAGGATCAATCCTCACGGGTTAGACTGCACATCCACCCTTACCCTCCTCGCCACACTGACTTCCCACAGAATCTGTCTCACAGGCTCACCAAGGTCGTAAATACACAGTAGTCAGCACAATGTCTGGCACATAGTGAGTACTCGGTATAAGTTATGACTATTGTTGCTGTTCATTGAAAGCAGGCTAAAAAACTGCTGCTCACTCGGACTCTGCTGCAATAAACCAAGAAGAATAAATTATAGTACAGTATTCTTTAGATGTCCTTGGTACTTCTGAAGTATCTGTGGGCATTTGAAGACATGCCATGTACCCAGAATCCCGTTTACACCTTATTAGTTGGTGAGCGAACCTGAAGTGCAGCCGGCCACTATAACACGGAAATCTTCAGAAAGTAGCAGAATTGAGCAGAAAGAACACACCCAGGCCTTGGGTCAGAAACGCCTGTCTAGCCATGTGCCCAGATGAACCTCCCTGGGCCTCAGTTTGCTCATCTACAAAAATAGAGTTAATCTCAAAAGTGGAGCTGCTGTTATAATTAAACCACATCTGTGACCACAGACTGGGTAGCTTAAGCAACACACATTTATTTCTCACAGTTATAGGATCTGGGAAGTTCAAGATCAAGGGTCAGCCAATTCAGTGGCTGGGGAGAACCTACTTGCTGGTTTACAGACAGCTGTCTTCTCCACGTGTCCTCACACAGCTGAGAGCAGAGAAAGATAATCTCTTGCGCGTCTCTTCTTACAAGGGCACTAATTTCATTTATGAGGACTCCACCCTTACGACCGAAGGCCTAGCCTCCAAATACCATCATGTGGAGGGTTAGGACTTCGACATGTGAATTTTGGGGGGAGGCAGAACATAACCATTTAGTCCACAGCAGTGACACACCAGGGCCATGTCTCCCAGACAGAAGGTGCTTAGCAATGTGAACCTACTTCCTTGTCCCTTGAGGTTTTGCCATGTTTAGAGGTGATGAGAGTCCCGAGTAAGTCAGGCCTTAAACCTCCATCACCAGCCAGGTGCACCGGGCCCTGTTTCCACGTGGGTTCCCGTCTCCCTAGTCTTCATCTTCTCTTCTCTCCCCGAATCCTCCAGAAACGCCTCTCCCTGCTCCGTTCAACTCAGTCTTCTTTCTGGAAATTCTTCCTCCTTGAAGTTCTCGCTATGAGTGTGGGGAACACACTTACATCACAAAGTATCTTCTTTTTTCTGCAACCTTGCAGGCCAGATGTGTGGCTTCTGCTCCATCTTCTCCCGCTGGCCTGCCTCCTTTGGCAGGAGCTGTCTCCCAAACCCTGCCAGAGAGAGAGGGGGGCACTTACCCAGCTTCCTAGGACTAGGAAAAACATTTCCTAGAAATTTTTTCTTAAAAATTTTATTTTTAAAAAGATTGTATTTATTTATTTTTAGAGAGAGGGGAAGGGGGGAGAAAGAAAGAGAGAGAAACATCAATGTGTGGTTGCCTCTGGCACACTGCCAACTGGAGACCCGGCCTGCAACCCAGGCATGTGCCCTGACTGGGAATTGAACCGGTGACCCTTTGGTTCTTAGGCCGGTGCTCAATCCACTGAGCCACACCAGTCAGGGCTCCAGTTTCTTTGTTTAGACTGCACTCTGGGGTTTAATCCCCAGGACACAGCAGGCCCATGGAGAACAGAAAGGAAAAACAAACAGCAGAAGAACATCTGTAATCACGACTAATCACTACTTAGAACTGAGAGATGTAGCAGGGAAAAGTGAACATTAAAGTGTGACATTAGCTTCTCAGTGCCAGAGGAAACTTGGACAGATTTTCAGGCCAAAGGAAGAGATTCCCCCTCCCTGGAAACAAACATGCAAACACACCTGGGCTTCGGAGTCAGACAGATGTGGGTTCAGTTCCCCAGTGCCACGCACAAGCTGGGTGGCCTCAGACAATCATTATCTCCCTGAGTCATAGATAAAGGACACACGGTAATGGCTAGCTAAAAAACGCTCTCTTGACATGTATTTAAAGATGGGTGATGAAAATTTACTAACTTTTCTTGTCCCCCTCCTTCCTTTGTGCACCCCCCCACCCCCGACGACTCTGGCCCCAGGAATCCTGACCTCCGTGAAGAGATGCTGGCATTTCTGGTCCAACCCAAGCCAGAGAACCGTTAAGAAGGGGCCTTCGTTCTGGATTCTCCAACTCAACACCGACGTCCCAGCTGCGACGTACTGTCACTGATGAGAGACTGGGAAAGGAAAAGCATATAAATATATATATAGATATATATAGATATAGATATATATACAGGAAACACTGCGTCCTTGCACTGCTTCTGGGGGCTGGCCAAGCCGTTGGCCAACTGCAGCAACCAACATCGGAACAGCTACATTTCCTTTGCAAACAAATGGAAGAATTGGTGGGATTTTTCAGGGAAAAAAATTATAATGCCAGTAGTCCCTCACTGTCCCCTTCGAAGCCCTGTGGAACAACACAGGCACGCTGGACCACGATGACTGTGGAGGTGCAGTGCGACCTGCATGTCACACCTAGTGGACGAATGTTCCATTTGTTCTGCAGCATCTGTTGCCCACGCAAGTGCAAAGGAAAGACCCTTTTGCAGCAAAGCAAGAGAAATCGCAGCAGCAAGACACACACCGTCAACCGTTTTCCGAGAGAGAAAGAAAATTCCCCACATGGAAAGGAGGAGGAGGAACACTGGGTCATTCCTTCATGGGTCTCGACACTGGGCTGCAAAATCCACCTTCCTTTCTTCTGCCTCCCCTCCCCTTCACGAGTCTTGTCGTCATTTTCTGTCTCGGCTCCCTCCTCCTTCTCTCCCAACCCTGTCCCCCTCACTGTCTGTGTCCTGGCCCCGCTGAGGGCCATTGCAGATGACTCTCATTTGAAACGAGGAAAGAAAACAAGAAAAGAAAGCAGGAACAGAAAACCAAGCCACAGGAAGGGAAGTAGACATTGTATGTTTATGGGTTCTCATTATGAAGGTGCAGCTTGTAGGAGATTTGTATGGATGTGCTTTTAAGTTATGTATATTACATATAACGGGAAACAAATATTAAAATAAACAGTGCTGGTAAGTATGAAGCTGACATTTTAAAATTATAATTATCTGACTGTGATTGATGTATCCCAAGGTTCCTAGATCTCACTGAACCGGCCCGGCCGAGGAGACCTGGACTCTGGCTGCAGGAGATGACGGTTCAGTGTAGTAATACAGTGTGTGATGTTTGTCATTGGTTGATTGGTGGGGAGGGGAGGGGTCCCCAAATGGAGAGGCCGGGGTTTGGCGAGAAGGAAGCAACACAGGTGTAGTCCGAGATGCCTTCTCCCCTGGGCAGTGGCGCAGGGCTTGGCCTGTGCCTGGCTGTGGGGTCCAGAGTTAGGATTTTGCTGCAGACCCCCTGGCTCAGTCCCCCCACCTCCCTAGGGGGCTTGCCCCAGTTGCAGTCCTCTATTTTTTTTTTTGCCACATGTCTTGCCTTTCCCCAACCGAATCGTGTCAACTAACTCCCATCCTAAGGGGGGTGACGCCCCCTAGCCATTGCAGAGGATGGTGGCTTTAATCTGGCTAGCTGAAACCCCCAGCTCAGCCTTTTCCCTTACCACTCCTGTATTGTCTCGGAATCATTCTCTCCTTCCTGGGCCAACGCAGCCATGGTAGAGACCGTGAACCCAGGGTAGGCCCTGATAGGTCGAAAGTGCATTCCTGAAGGCTTCGCCTGCCCCAGAACAAGCCGAGCATGAAAGGTGGTGCTGCTCACAGTCCCCATCTACGCTTAAGACCCTGGCTTTGGAGGCTCGCCTTCAGTCGGCATCTGAGCGCTGAGCCTGTGCCCTCGAAGCCCCAGAAATTGCCTCAAGACCACAGACAACCTTGGAGAAATCCCATCAGAAGCCTGGTCCCAAGGCCCTCCCTCCACAAGCAGCTTCCCTGAGCTCAGTGAGTCCCCTTCCGAGGGAGCGTGTCCACCCCTCTGCTGCACTTGAATTTCTCAATCCCATCTCATCTCCCCAGTCCAGCTCCTGAAACAGTCGATAAATTCATTGAATTTCTCAATCCCATCTCATCTCCCCAGTCCAGCTCCTGAAACAGTCGATAAGTTCATTGGGCGACTATGTATGTTGAGTACCGACTCGTGCCAGGTACTATTCATGGACTGAAAGGGAGAGTGGGGGGAGGGGAAGACATAGAGGCACTGGGGAAGCCCCCTGGGCCAGCCTTACATTTCCAGCCGTGCCTGGCCCTTCGGAGAGCATTTCCACATTCTCTCCACTTGTTGAACATTGCCCAGCGAGGCCAGGCTTGTTGATCAGTTACCCCAAGGACACACATGCTTAGCTCCTCAGTTGGTGTTGACTAAGGCAGAACAAGAAACGAGAATAGTTTGCCCCCGTGGACAAAAATGGGATAGAGAGAGGGCAGAGGGCCCTGAACCTGGCAATCAGAGGGCAGGGTCAGCCGCATCCCCCCGGAGCAGGCCAGTGGCCCATCCCAGCTCCCCGGGTGTGACAGCATACTTTTCATGCACCGGGTTCTCTTCACACTCCTGGTCAAAGAAGCGCGGGACCTCCTCTTTGTCCTTCTCAACCCGAGAACTCCCACTCTTTCTGGGCTAAGAGCTGGACTGGCTCCACCCTCTCTGGGCTACCCAGAATTTGGCTCAGACACCCCATCTCTGTGAGAACCAGGCATTCTAAACATACTTCAGAGGGAGAATATTTTTTCTGGGTCCACCACCTGCCCACAGACCCCGGGAGTGTGGCTTCAGGACAGGGATGAGGCGACCAGGCTTAGCTCATGGGCCAGCCAGGGTCTGTGGAAGTCTCTGTACCATACATGCTCTGACCTTCCTTCCACGGACAGGCAAGCGGTGCCACCAGGGAGGAGGGGAGTTGCAAAGCTAAAATCTAGGGCACTGTTCCCTCCCCATGCTCCTCTTCATAGAGAATATAGACGTTTGTCTTGTCTGTCTTCAACCTACTTTTCCTTTTTTCTTTTTTATGTTTCTCACCCTTTCTGTGCTGCCTGTCCACCCAAGAGACCATGCGGCATAGTGGAAAACGTCCTGGAGGGCAGCCCAGAGTGCGGGGTGGTCATCTGCCCCAGCTCGGCACCTAACTCGCCATGTGACATCGAGCTAGGCCCGTGCCCTCTTTGGGGCCGCAGTTTCCCCACTTGTAAAATCATGAGGATAAACCAGATGCTCTCCAGGGTCTTTTTCCGCTCTCCCATCCTACAGATTTTTGTTCGATTTTGTTTCTCGGGATCTTTTCCATCTGAGGGTACAGGAAGTGCCAGGACCTGTTTCAGTCTTTGAATCCAGCAAGCACATTCCAAGACCGGCCTGAAATTGCATGAGCAACATCATTCAATTTTTTTTTCCCAAAGCACCTTACCAACCAATGCAATGCTGTCCTGTTCCTTTTTACGCACACCCCTCTCTCCTCTCTGGTCTCCACGCTTCCCCACCTCAGTGCTCCGTGCTGTATGCGTGTGCTCTCTGTTCTTGTATACTCAATAAAAGTGAAATAAATGTGTTTGATGCTGAACCACAAACTGCCTTGGTGCGTGCCCCTCTCTCTTTCTCTCTCTCCCTCCCTCCCCCCACCCCCAATTACCAGTACAGGTGGCGTCGTGAGAAAGGCGAAAACTGGAGTGGAGAGATCCCGACCTAGTACAGTTTCATTCAAGAAATATTTGCAGCTCTGAATGTGGTCCAGGTCTTGCCCTAGGCTTTGCAGGTACAACGACAAGGAAGACAAAGTCCCTGCCGTCCAGGAACTCACAGGCTAGCAGGGGAAACAGACCACAAAACAGGCAAGCAGCCAGAGACGGTTCCGAGTGATCAGCACCGGGAAGGACATGCATGGGGGGACAGGGATGGTCACAGAAGGAGACCACCTTAAATGAGGTGGCCAGTTACGGCCTCCCTGGGGAGGTTATTTTTGTGCTGAATGAAGAGAAATACCCAGTAAGGGGAAGAACTTGGATGAGAGCATTCTAGGCAGGAGGCACGATAAGTGTGTGGGTCCCAGGACGCAGAAGGGCTTGGTGTGCAGAGGGGCAGCATGATCCCAGCTCCCCTCCCTGACAGAAGAGCGCCTTCATCTGGGTCTCTTCCTGCACGTCCCCTGCAGGACTGCCTAGTGGGTAATGCAGACGGCAACCCCCAGCTTCAGCCTCTGCCCGCCACCTTCACACACGTTGCCATAGCCCCTGCATACCTCCTGTCTCACTATTGACTTACCATCACTTTTTAAAACTTTACTTTAAAAAAAGTTTATTTAAAAAGGAAACCGAATTACTTCTGCAAATGAAAACACTAGTGTCACCTGCCAAGAAAGGTCTTCATAAAAAATAAATGCAAAAAATATTAAAATTAAAAACACATAATCCACGTAAAAGTTAAATTTGCCCCTTGGACTACCTGAAGCATATGCACCGGCACTTTCTGTTTTATTCTACTCACTGACTCGCGCCAGACCACCTCTCTTTTATATATTTATTTACTTGTGTGTTTGTTTATTTTTAGAGGAGGAAAAAGGAGGGAGAGAGGAAGAGAAACATTGATCTGGGGGCCTGGCCCACAACCCAGGCATGTGCCCTGACTGGGAATCGAACCAGCAACCTTTGGTCTGCAGGCCAGCACTCAGTCCACTGAGCCACACCAGCCAGGGCCAAACCATCTAACTTTTTTGCCCCAAACCTCACAGGCAAGAAGCACTGCTAATAATTTGGGGCATATTCTTTCAGACTTTCCATGTACATGTATTTTGCCAGAATTGAAGTTACCTTGTACGTATCACTCTAAGTACTTTTTGAAACTTACACCCTGAACCCTTCCCTGTAATTTCAAACACTAATATTATTTCTTTTGTTTTTAGAGATAATTCATTAAATTATACAAAGTGCTATGCAGTGAAAAGCAATTCTTCAACCCTCTGCAGACTCCTGTCTATTGCCAGAGGCAATTACTTCCAGGAGCTTTGTGACTCCTCTCTTAAATTTTCCTGTAGCCATCTATCACCCCTGAGATTCTGCAGTAGGACTTGGTTTGCAAACATTGGGTCTCCACATACCCTGGATCTGTGTCTTTGTCTCCAGTAAACATAGGGTCAGCCTCTGCACTGCTTGGAAATAACCTGAGGTTGTTTCATCTATATCATTGGTTTTCAACATGGGGGGAGTTATTTTGCACCCCCCTTCCCGAGAATATTTAGCAATGTCTGGAGACATTTTTGGTTGTCATAACAGAGAGGTGCTATTGGCATCTAGTGGGCAGGGGCCAGGGCTGCTGCTGAGCATCCTACAATGCACAGGCCCCAAATGGCACAGTAGTACCAAGGTAGAGAAACCTGATCTGGATAGACATGTGACTCACAGGTGGCATTTCCGGGCCACCATCTACAGCTTCCATGCCCATAATTCCATGCCCTGGAGTCTTGGAGAAGATGGCAAGCTTATCTGGAACAGGAAGCTCCAAGACCAGGCACCAGAACTTAGTATCTAAGGCTGGGAATAGGGAGGGGCAAGGAGGGAGCTGAGCTTCTTCATGCAGGAAATGGAATGGACAGGACAGGCTGAGACTGACATGCATGACCGTGACTGATGGAGGCCATTTCTGGTTAATCCTGCAGCAATTCACTGTGACTAACCATGACTGCAGGGCCCAGTCTCATCTGTAACCACTAAGAGATGGATTTTGACTGAGACAGATTGGTGTGTCCAGTGTCACTGAGGAAATGTGACAGACAAGCTATGGAGCAGCAAGCAGCACAGGGAGAAGAACAGCCTGTCAGACCTCGGTTTGCATCCTAGCTCTGCCACTCTCTGACCGTGTATCCTCTCTGAGCCTCAGTTTTCTCTTCTGTAAGTTGGGGGGTACTAATGTATTCTTTTTAGGGTAATGTAATGTTTAGAAATCATACATGAATAGCCTGCCCTGTGGATTTTGGACTTATCTAGCCAGCCCTCACAATCACATAAGCTAATTCCTTGCAATAAATCTCCCTCTCTCTCTCTCTCTCTCTCTCTCTCTCTCTCTCTCTCTCTCTCTATATATATATATATATATATATATATATATATATATATATATATATATCCTATTGGCTGTCCTTGGTTGGACCCTGACTAGTACAACCACCCAGCACAGGGCTAGGCCCCAGATAGAAGCTATTTATTAATACCAAATTACAGTCATCAGTTAAATGCAGAATATTGTACATGTACTCAGCTAAGCCTTTGTGGCTGGCATTGTGCTGGGTTCCAGGCAAACAGTAGGAAACGAGAAACAAGACAGGCAGGTGCCCCTCCTCAGAGAACAGTTACAGCCTGAATGAGATATCAGACTAGCCCTGTGCTGCAGGAGAACTCTGGGTGGTTATGGCTGCAGAGTCGGGGGTGGTGACTACTGCTACTGAGACAGGTTCTCTCTGGGTTAGGACCTGGGTTTCTGAGGCTCCCTCTTAGGCCTGAGTGTGGTTGGAAGGTAAGATGGGGAGATAATGGGCTAGCTGTGACCCTGTCACTCAGGCAGACATTGGCTGACCAGGGCTGTGACTGAGTATCTGGCAGTGACTACTAAGCAGCCATGACCTAGACCCCAGCTTCAGTGACCATGACTGATTGAGACCGAAGGACTATGGCTGGCCCTGGCCAGTGTGGCTCAGTTGGTTGGAGCATCATCCCATAGACGGAAAGGTCAGGGGTTCAGTTCCATCAGGGCACGTACCCAGGTTGTGGATTCGATCCTTGGTCAGGCACATATGAGAAGGCAACCAACCAAAGGACCATGGCTGGTGGATGTGTTTGTGGAATGCAACATAAAATGCGGTTTGACAAAAGCTGTTACCCACAGTTCAGGAACTAAAACGAGCAACTGAAAGCAAACGATTTTATGGGGCGGAACCTGCAAGCGCGGACCGCTTCTTCCGCGACCGAGAGATCTGCCGGGCTGCTTTTTCTGCAGCTCCTGTCCGGCGCCAACGCGATAAAACTTCCGGCGCGCTTCCGCGGTGCCTGACCTGGGGGGCGAGACCGGAGTAGGTGAGTGCGGCCTGTCGCCCTGTTTTAACTCGTCTGCTTTCGCTGTTTAGCCAGGTTACTCGTCTTCCCGGCCTGGGGTCGCGGAGTGCCCTGAAGTAGGGCGCCTCACCGGGTCTGTGGGCCGGTGGTAGGACCCTGGTGTCTCCACAGGCCTTTAGCCGCGAGAAACTGTCACCAGAGGTACCGTCCCCAGTACCTTCTGGAACACCTGGGGTAACTTCGCTTTTTTCCAAACTTGAGGACTTGAGTACCGGAGACCTTGGCTGCTCCCGACCTGGTTCTGTCCGACTCTCTGCAACTTTTCTGGTAAGGTCTCTCCCTGAAAGGAGCCTGTTTCTCAACTACAAAGTGGATATCAATGTTTTTATTAAATAACTGTTTGTCAAGTGTCTGTTGTGCTGGAGGAACAGATAGGCAAATCTGGTAGAGGTGACAGCTCTCTGTTAATTATAGGCAAAATTGCAGAGCTAGTAAGTGAAATGAAAAGGCATGAGGCCGCGTGAGAGTACCACAAGAGGCCTGATCTAGGAAGCTTTACTGAGGAGAGAATATTGAGCTGAGATCAGAAAAAAATGATTTGAGAAAGAGGAGAGGGAAGAGTTTTTGGGTCGGGAGCCCCCCCTTCCCCCCGTTTGGGGGTCTGAAAGAGGCCAATATGACCCGACCAGAGAGCTTGCCTGGGGAGCAGAGTGTGAAACGGGCTGGAGGACTTGCCAGGGGCCAGACGGTGCATGCCGTGTAGGTCAGGGTGAGAATTTTGGTTTTCCAGGAGCCACCTGGGAAACCACTCAGAGGGTATTACGTGTGGGTGTCCCTATGCTTAGACTGGCATTTTGAGAAGCTCACTTCTGCTGTGGGTGGAGAATGGATTGAAGGGGAGAGTGCTCTGGGTGAGGGACATGGTAGCGTGGATTAAGGAGGTGGTGAAGACAAGTGGATGGATGTGACTTTCTGCATCCAGGGCATCTTCTCTGCTGTCAGGCCACGTGCCAGCTGCTGAAGAGATAATGAATAGAATCACAGGCTGATGGAATTAGATTGAAGGAATGTCATTATCGAGGAAGAGCACACAGACGCCCCAAGGGAAAGTGGCTAAATGATGAGCATTTATTCTAAATGTAATAGCTGTGCATTTAGCAAATGTTTATTAAGGACCTTCTGAATTCAGGGCTGGGAATAGGAAGATGGTGATATAAATTATTCAGAGCAGTGGCTTTCAGACTTTTTTTGGCCGTGACCCACGGTAACAAATACATTTTATGTCACATCCAAGAGTGTGTACATACACACAAAGCTTCCGAAAACAATTCTCTTTTCCACTCCTGATACACTCTAATTTTAAATTCTGTTCTTTTCATTTTAAAAAAAATTAATGCTGGTTGAGCCTCTCTAAATTGTTTCTTAACCTATTACAAATTTTGACTTGAAGTTTGAAAATAAATGCTGATTTAAAGTGAGTCATTTGTAGTGGTTTCAGGTTAAGAGTAAAATATGCCCATTTTTGGAAA